AGAATGCGGTTTGGCATACCGTACTATGCGCTCGATCTCATCTGTAGCATCCAGAAAGAATTTCGTGAGGCATTCTTTCGCGGAAGAAAAATTATTGTGGAAGGCGTTCCATAAATCACGGACCCTAATTATGCGGACTTAGACGTTCCAGGGTGAAATTTCATAAGGCAGTTCTTGAAGCTTAAGAAAACGAAGATTCTAGACCATGTCCAGTGAGGATAACTTATCTATCTTCACAAATGCTTGCTACCACTCTCGAAGTATTTCGTAACAGTAAACACCGGTTACCAACTCAAATTCACGTGCATCCGGACAGACCATATAATGCAAGGATTAAGCGCGAAGACAAATTAGAACTGACTGTTCCACTTGTGAACTGTCAAGAACAAGGAGAAAGACTTGAACGGATAGGTACCACAAACCCGGAAAACCTTGTGGAGGTAGGTTGCCTGTCTGTTCACATAAGGCTCATTCAGACAAACAGGACGAGGAAGCTCACGCGTTTCGAAATGAAGGCATAAACTGCCCGCATATAAACGCCGTGAGTTTACCAAAAAATGTGAATGAGTTGCACGAACTAAGTACAACCGATAATATTCATCTGAAATAGGGGCATCTTTTAATCTTACGGACCAGAAGCTAACAATACCCGGCACGTCATTGCTTCGCAACGACAGGAAATCAGGAATAGAGAGCGGAGCAGCCATGTACCTATGATCATGCTTAGTAACACATCAAGTCTACTATCAAGAGTTCACCAATTTTGATGAATGTTTATGGTTCTCACTCAACAGTGGACTTACGTTTAACACTTCAAAGTGTTAAGTAGTCCATCTGTGACAAGTTGCGAATTTTTGCACACAACCTACGTAACTCCCCACTAGAGGTATCCCAAGTTGAAAAAGATCTAAGAATTTTGGTACCCTATGATCTAAATTATTTCACAAACAGGGACAAAACTGTCTTTCGAACAAACTTCATATTGGCAAATTTGAAGTGCATTTTGGCCACTTCGGCAGAAGAACTATCCACCTAATCTTCAACAGTTTTATTCGACACACTGGAAAGTATCCAACGGTGAAACACGAAATCTGTTCGAGGACTTAAATTCAAGTCTTATAACGAGAGCCTGAAATCACTTAATCTTGTCTCAGACGGACTACTTTGCACTTTGAAGTGTTAAAATTAAGTCCGTTATTGCTTTCCCAACGTTTAAGTAGAGTCAGATTCCCCTGAAGTGCCAATTTATACTCTTGATTACATATTCCTCACCTGGGTTTCAAACCAAACAGTGAAAAGCAGCAGATCGAGTGTTGCCTGCTGTGGAAGACTGCTTATGCAAATTATGAAAAGGATAGGTCATAGTGCTGAACCATGGAGGACCCCACCAGGACATTCCATAGCCTGAGGGAAAAGTATTGTTAGCTATGACCTTAAAAGGTTTATTATTTAGATATGAAGTAGGCTAATCGATTATTGGTGTGTAGATCATAAATTTTGATGATCTATCCGAGTTAGACGGGAGCGGTGTGACGAACCGGCTAACTTCGAATTCACACCTCACTGTCAGCATTTAACGTGGATTACCTCTTCTACGTATCAAAGTATTATGACAGCTTTGAAGAGCGTATAACACAAAGGACGTTACATTAGTAAGAATGAGCACAGAGAAGATAGCGAGACCACCACCGCATGTGCCAGTCCATGGCCTACGATTAGCTGGTACACGTTGGTTGTCCTTCACTTTGACAGAGCTCGATAATCTGTTCGATATTCAGTGACTGGACTTCTGGACCATTTAGCTAGGGCTCAGTGACATTCCACTGGACCTAGAGGTGATTTTATACCTGACAGTTTGAGCTTATTCATAAGGCACATATGACCGGCCCTATCGAGAGTTTTTAGGAAGTCTAAGTTTACAACAGCAACCTTCCGCTTGTGATCAAGGATGGTTGTCCATCTGTTCACCGCAGTCAGCAGGTTGGTTATACAAGAATAGCTCTTCTTGAGACCGTGTTGTAGGGGTGAAAAGAAGCTTATGAATAGCAAGTAGTACGTGGACCGTCGTATATGAAGGACACCATAATTTTTTAGGGTTTTAACGAAATGCTGTTGGCCGGTAGTTCGAAGGTTCGATGAGTCGGCCACTTTTGGGATTTGGTGTGGTATGCGCCAGCTTCTAATTGTTTAGGACCGTGCCTCAGCTTAACGAATGTGAGAACATCGCACCAAGTGGTGTCACCAAGACTGAAGAAGCTTCTCTTAGTACAACAGAATGGGCCATTCCTGGGCCAACAGATATGTCCTGGTTTAGGAGCTGTTGATTTTGGCCCACCATGCCGACGCCAGGTTCACTAAATATTCTTTGAATCAGAAATGGTACTTCTTTCGCGTCTGGACACTGTGAAAGTTTGAGGAATTCCAGCTACATCAAGATGACACTGTCAGTGAAGCATACGTTAAGTTCTATGTTTATGGATACTTTGTCATAATATAGGAGCCAATTTCAAAGAACATTCGGATTTCTACTCATAAATAATAGGTTTATAATATTGAAAATTCTCATATTGTGAATTATAAAAACATATATAAACGAACAACATTGTTTTCAATTCTCCGCCTCTATACATTGTTCTAGTGAAGTCGGCAACTCTTTGAAGAAACAGTCAGACACCGTTGCGCTTAGACTGGGTGTTTAAAAACGACGAATTCCTAACTGGTAACCTCTCAATCGTGGCTCCCCTAGGGAAAAGCGATTATGCTGTAATAGCTTTTAGTTTTATCAGGAAAACTGAGCTAAGACATCCTACCAACAAAAGGCGCTGGAATTTCGAACGGTTGGGTGTGTCAGCTTTATAGAACAATCTACAGCAGGTGGACTGCGTAGTTCACCCTCAACTTTATGTGGGATTTCTTACTGCACAAGATCTTATGTGCTACAAGACAGTCTGTTCCTCAAATGGTATCCAAAATATACAAGAAACCCACAATCATCAAGAACAACACTGTTCGTTTGCTAAGCCACAGAAGACACTGTTGGGCGGAATACAAACGAACTGGTGACAACAGCTCATACAGGCAATATAAATATATAAGAAACATATGCACAAATGCAGTCATCAGTAGTAGATGAAGCTTATCGATAAATTTGTCTGCAATCCGGAAAATTTATTCTGTAGTGCAGCGTCTCTTGAACAAGCCAAAACTAGAGTTATCCAACTGCTAGGCCCTAATGGGTCGACCAATGACGATGGCAACACTGCTAACCTTCTGGCTGAACAGTACTCTCGGGCATTTCAACCGACCCACACTAACTACACTGATGAAAGCTTCACCTCCAACTTCACAGGAATTTTGGAAGTTAACCTGAGCGCTCAAATGATGCACCGGAAACTGCAGCACCCAAGAAAGACTCTTCTCTTGGTATGGATATGGTTGATTCTGCTATGCTGAGGGAAGTAGCTTCAATCCTGCCAAGACCGCTTAGCGTGATGTTTTCACACTCACTAAGCCAAGACACACTATTGGAAACTTGGCAGCTGGCTCACACCACACCAAGTTTCAAAAGAGGTTGGCGCAACGAACCTTCAAGTTACTGACCGGTGGCCCTTCTCTCTATACCTTCAAAAATTATGGAGTTCATAATATGCGGTGGTATACACGACTATTTATTATCCTTAAACTTCTTTTCACCCAAAAGCATGGTTTCAAGAAGGGTCACCCTTGTATAATCAACCTGCTGACTGCGGTGGATAGATGAACAAGCATCGTTGATCGCAAGGGGAAGGTTGACGTCATTTACCTTGACTTCAAAAAGTTTTTGATGGAGTCAGCCATATGTGTCTTATCAATAAGCTCAAACGGTTGGGTATCAAACTACCTCTAATTGACTGGCTCACTTCATATCTACAAAATCGACATTTTATGGTCAGGGTTAACTTCACTTTCTCTCAGTCTATGGAATGTCGTGGTGGGGTCCGCAAGGGCTCAATACTAGGAACTCTTCTCTTGATTTATATAAACGATTTTCCACAACAGATATCTTCTAACATTACTTTTTGCTGATGATGTTAAACCTTGGAGAGAGATGCGCAACCAAGATAATATACTAGCACTTTAGGAGGATCTGACTCGACTTCAAAGTAGGGCAGACGACAACGGACTTACCTTCAACACTTAAAAGTGTAAAGTAGTCCATCAGCGACATTTTACAGACTACGGTTACAACTTAGGAAACTCCTCTCTAGAAGTATCTCAAGTTGAAAAAGGTTTAAGAGTGTTGGTACCCTACGATTTGAAATCTTACGCCAACTGCGACAAAAATGCCTTTCGAGAAAACCCTGCAGTGTTGACATTGAAGCGCATTTTTGACCAGTTTGACGGAAAAACTTTCCCCATAACTTCCAACAAATTCATTCGTCCCCATTTAGAGTAGAGTAAAATGCTATTTCCTCCCGAAAGGAAAAGGATACTCTGCAACGTATCTAACGGTGAGCCACGAAATCAGTTCTGGTACTCAGATTCAAGCCTTATGAAGAGCAGCTATAATTACTTAACTTTTACCCGTCTGAGTATAGACGTCTTAGAGGTAACCTTCTAATGGCTTACATTATCCTTAACACTTCTGGACATCCCCTTAAACACTCACTTGAGCTTACTCTTAACACAAACCTTAGGGGTAACACCCAGAAATTAGAGACCCATTATAGCACAATAGACTGTAGACACAACTTCTACTCCCTATGAGTTGTCAAATGCTGAAATTCACTGTCAGCTGAGCTAGTCCCAGCGACCTCTCAGGATTCTTTTCAGAGAAAACTTGATATATTCTTAAGGACTAAGGATAGCATCTTCCTATGATTTACCAGTTTCATTTTCCTCCATTATCATTAATATACCTAGGTTTCTGCCTGAAAGTGATCGACTGCTACTAGATACGGAAGGCCGTTGAGCTAAAGCTTCTTCTACTTCGTCTAAAATCGTTTGATTCATGTAGTAGTTTTATTTTTCAAAGTCGTCAGTGTTTTAATCTCGCTTGTAGGTCAGCGCGGCAGTCGGTCGTGCTGCACGCCAAGAAATGGTATGTGGTGTTCTGCCTTTTTTTTGGTGTTATGATCCTTACCGTGTTATATTTTTTAACCCTGCATTTTGTGATTATTCAGGAGAATACCCATGATACCACCAAGGCATAATGACAGAAATAATGAAACTAATAGCTTAAATTGTTCTGTAATTCCAGTCTCCAAGTCTCTTAATGTACTGGGATTCGGGGACGCTTAGATGTGAGAATACAGGTAAGAAAACAGCTTTTGGGCACTTAGAGGTATCAAACTACGTTAATCAAATTCTCAGCGTGTTTGCCTGTCGGACTATATCACCGCTACGTGATACACAACTTCGTCTGATTAGTTTTATGGTAATACTCACATTAAAATACCTTGAGACCAATAAGGTTAATAAATAGACGTTTTTATTGCTCGTCAGGGAATGCCGACCCACCAGACAGTCGTCGATAGGTGGCCTAGAACCTATCGTAATATAGTTCTTTCAATTTAGCTCATAGCGTGTTGTTGTAATTCTCCTTCCTGACTACCACTTACCACTACTTTCAAAAAATTTGTGAGATGATGATTATCTTTGGATGATGCACGTCAACCTCATAACTAAGGACTCCAAGTTTGTCATTGATGCTTTGTCGAATAAAAAATTGCTATGTAGTTTACCTCACTGTTCAGGTAGCTTCCGTTAAGGCACCTGGGCAGTATCACAGCCCTCACACAAATCAAATGAGATTTGTGCGGCGCATATATATCTGATGCCTATTCGTACAAATGTGTATGTGTTTAAATAAATAATGTCAAAAATATATTTCTCCGTAGCCGTGAATATCCTTTAAAAGAGTCAGCTTAAAAGTATACGAACTGTTACAAACATTTAGTAGCAGGATATTAAAATAATATTTCCGAATGTCGTGATGATAGTTTACGAGTGATTTATCCGAGCATGTACAGTTGACTAAGATCTGGCACTGCAGCACTGTGAGGGATTTTATCTGAACTTCATCGTGGTGGTCATAACTGGGATGGTAACATTAAACTATACTGCCGAGCCAATCAGAAGCTTTCGCTGGTTTTCAAGGTCACGGCGCTAAGTTCGGCACCTGATGCTTACGTACGGTCGGTTTACAGAGAATTTTAGGGAAGACGTGATAATTTAGCGTCTACAATAGAAGTCATCATAAGATTTTGGCGCGAAATTCAATTATCCATTTGGATAAATAGAGTTTTGGCATTATAGCTGATGTCAGTTCGTGATGAAAACCCTAAGTATTATTCCTAGCCTTAATCATGGACTGCAAATCATAATTTGAATTCTTCACACAGGTTTATAACCCTTATTTGGTCCTAGTTATTATGTTGACACTCTCAGAGTCACTCTAGCGTCGCTCAAAGGTTGTCCATAACTTATAGTCTTACCCATAACCCTACACCTAAACCTTAACTCTAACCCTAACCCGTAAACCATACCAATATACTAACATTATTGAAGCTATGTGGTCGGGGCTAAAAGAATTTTTGAGACCTTATCATGGTTTCAGAGGTCGACTACTATGGAGCCATATGGATGTGTTCCTGTACCGTATGCACTATGATTTTAGAATTTCTGAACCTATATCTGACCTTGAGAAGTTTTTGACCCATGTAAAAGAAGTGTTTCCACTTTAATTCTTTGGTTTTGTATAATATATTTTTGCTGTATACTAACTATCTTCTGATTGGCTAATATTTCTCAAGGTCATTTAAGATTCGTTCAAAGGTCGGCAGTATAGTTTAATGTTACCACTGGGATAGGAGAAATTCAGTAAGCAGCTCAATGTCTCCTACAAGACAAAACACATATCTTAGATTAATTGAATCAAGTGAATGTCGCAAAGGTTGTGTAAGACATTCCATGTAACATGTTTGTAATATTCGTTGTCTGAAGCATAAAATGATACCAAGTGTTGAGGAGAATGTAAAGACCGAGGGAGAGGGACATAATTCATGCACACTACTGGCTAAAATTTGGACTGAACTTCTAACTGTCTTATTCCCAGTAAACGTTGTCCATATAAATTTTTCGAGTCTGTTTGTCTCATACTTTCTAACTCATTTCTGTTCTTTTTGCCATTATGTAGTCGGTGAGACTATAATTTGTGTGCAGCCTTTGTTATTGATTTGTTTATTTATGCACAAACGTTAGAACAAAAAGGCACCAAATAGATATGCGCCACATAAATCATTCGGTTTGTGTGAGAGCTGTGATACTGCCCGGGTGCCAAAACCAAACCGGGTGGTCCTCTTGGGGAGCACACTCGGAGCCTTCGACCTAAAGGTCTGATCCAAAAGGCAGTGGAGCATCGTGAGGAGATGCATTCCCTGGTAGCCGGTGACGAACGATCGATTCATACGCCATTTGTTCCTTCAGGATACTGGAACTCATGTGCACCATTGGTCTGGAATAAGGGTTTTCCAACTCCCCTAGGTGGACTTTCTGTGTCCACCAACCCGGTTAAAGCGCTGGACATTCACTTCTCGTCCTCTCAATTCTGTAAACAGCACGAGAAGGCAGTGAGTAGGACTTCCCTCGCTGTGGTTGTATACGCGTGGTCATTTGGGAGCATTTGGAGAGGGATAGCTGACTCTCTCCACTCTCAGCTGTACCAGAGAATTCGGGGGACGACCTTTGAACGACGTTAGAGCGGCCTTGGGATTGTCCATTTACTTGCTAGGGCTAGATGGGGCTGTAAACCTGTGTGAAGAATAAAGATCATGATTTTCAGTTGATGGTTGGAGTTAGGAATTAGATTTAGGGTTCTCATCACGAACTGATATATTATTAATATTCTTATCATAACTCAGGGTTCCGTTTAAGATGAAGCGCATCTGCTCCATCTACTTTGATTTAAGCAAGTGTTGACTCGATAAGAGAACGTTTCAAAATGAGGTTTCGCGATCCCATTTTATTGACGTGCAGTCAACCAGCTGATGTCACCTCGACTGATATTAATAACAAGAAAACACTTAGCATTGATATCATGCCAGTGAATAGAAAAATCCATTGTTTCGCTCATCAACCCTCAGATTTTATCTCACCTTGAGATACTGTTCCACACACTAGTGTATTATCAAAGGTTTTTCTGTAAATACTGATTTTGCGTGAGCATATGTAACATGTTTTGGTTCATGTGATTTCGTATACTGAGCAAATGTTTTTTAGTGTAAATTTACATGACTTCAAACATTTGATTCGATTTTTATCTCCTAGATGCTTCCTAATTTTTGATTTTGTTACTTCTAGGGTATTGATATCTGTCACAGATACGATAGGAAGGTAAAGAGGAAAAATCCTAAAAGCGATGATGTGTACCTTCGTCTGCTTGTTAAAGCGTACAAATTTTTGGCACGTAGAACCGGTTCAAAGTTCAACAAAATAATTATGAGGAGACTTTTTATGAGCAAAATCAACAAGCCTGCTCTATCTCTGGCACGCTTGATGCGAGTAATGAAAAAAAGTGGGCGTGAAAATAAAATTGCTGTTTGTGTTGGAACCATCACCAACGATACGAGAATCCGAGAGTTCCCAAAAATGAAAGTGAGTAACTTGAGAAGTTTTCAGGATTCTTTTACGAAATCGTTCTTCCGATGTAATATATTTTTATGATTCTATGTATTTACAGGTGTGTGCTCTTCGAGTAACTGCGGCTGCCCGTGAACGGATTTTGCATGCTGGTGGAGAAATAATCACTTTCGACCGTTTGGCAATTCTCAGTCCTCTAGGAAAAAATACAGTGCTTATTCAGGGACCGAGAAAAGGAAGAACTGCTGTCAAACACTTCGGCCCTGCACCTGGGGCACCATCAAGCCATACGCGACCCTACACTATCTCAAAGGGTCGTAAGTTCGAGAAAGCTAGGGGTCGTCGTGCTAGTCGTGCTTACAAAAAGTAAAATTGTACATTAAAAATATACACTTGCTTGGATTCTTTCTGTTTGAGGTTTGTGGTTGGAATAAATTATCGATAATGAAGACGAGTGTGTTGCTCATTTTGGACCAATATTAGTCCTAGTATATTCCTCTATGCCTGAATGGTGAAACATTCAGTTTCAAAGAATCCAAACAAGTATAAATAAGTACTCTTAGTAAAGATGTCTAGTTAGAGTATCATAATCAAATGAAGCTAAAAATATTCATCGACTGAGGTTGTGTGTCAACCTGGGCTGATGCAAATTGAATCGTGTTGTGTTCATAACTGACATGGGTTTCACAAAGTCGGCGCTTCCCCATAGATTATCGTTGGTAACGTTTTAGCGGACAAGCAGATTTATTTTGGTTTTACTGGTACCGTAAAACCTTGTCTCCTTAAATGACTAGTGGTGGGTTTGCTTCACTCGATGCGTCGGAATGTTATATCATTGTCCCAAACATCAATGGGAATATTTAAGTAAACAATACTAAATGAGTTTGAACTTCATCCCATTGTACAAGCACGTGGCTATTAGGGTCCAGTAGCTATGTGGATAATGCGATGGTGTTTAAAGCGAACAGTGAACATCAACTTTAAGATACAGGTACATCCAGTTGACTAGTACGGAATTGGATAAAACGCACGTCCTGGATTCCACTGCTAGCCATTATCAATCTTTGCTTATAGTACATTGGTTAGGCTTTATAAATCCATACAAATCACAGTCGACCTAGCAATGTTAGTACTTCAAATATGTATATTAAAATTCAAAAAGTCCCCATATAAAAATAACATATGAGTGGATGACATTGTTTCCCAGATGGTGAAGTTCTGTAGCTCAGGTGTATGTTTCCCAGTAGATCATTATAAATATGAAAGCAGACAAACTACTGATTAATTCGCCTGAAGAACTAAAATACAAAGGGGGATAATTGACACAACAATCTATGATTCACTTAAACACACCACGACTCTATGGTTTTCCCGGAATCCACGAGTTAGGACTTCATCTCCGACCAGTTTTAGATATGTATAATCCTACATACGATAAGACTGGTGAGTGGTTAGTTCGAATACCAATCATCAACTGGAACGTTTCCGACTTCATTTTCGAGGTAAAGCATATGAACTTAGATGGGAAATGTATAATATCCCTAGACGTTGCTTCCTCGTTCACAAATGTACCATTAACTGGGACAATTGACTTTGTGTCAACAACTACTTAATAAGAAATCAATATTGGAATTTCTGAGGTTAGTCTCAAATAATTCTGAAATGTACAGTGAACATTTTTGTCCTTAATAACACATTATAGACTGACGGAATAGCATTGGGTTCACTACTAGGTCCTATCCTTGACATGTTTTTCGCGCGAAACTAGGGGACGGAACTCTCGGAGACGTTTTTGATAAGCCTGACTTCTATTGCCGTTACTTTGAAAATACTTTCATTATCGTTGATTAGAACAATAAATATTCATCAATCAAATTTAAGTGTGATGATGAACTTGATAGCAAACTACATTTCTCGGACGTTTTGCTAAACAAAAAAGAAAGTGGTTCAATCAACCCGAGCAACCAATAATGGGGAAACGCGCCTGTCTGTTTTTTCGCCTATTAAAGGGAAATAATGCGGATTTTCAACTTTATGTCGCCCAGTGTTCTATGTTACTGAATTGTCTTCTTTTCGCCATAATACGCGCTGACTTATCTAATTTTACTTTAATTTTTAACACGCCTTTTTGCCTAACTCCAAACGTCTGCTGTGTTCGCCTTTATTTCCGTAACACACCACACGACATTTGCAATCGGCGTTATAAATGGTACATGTTTAAAGAAATTTATTGATACTAAAAAGATCGTCATATTGTACAACATTATGAGTAGTTGACAGATGCTAGAGCATCGATCGTTATGTTTTTAATTGTAATTGCCAAGTCTTTAGATATTGTAATTTGAAAAACTCTACAAAAGAAAGAACAGGTTATGTGTCATTAATTAGGCACATGTACTTAATTCCTAGTGCATTTAAAACCAAACAGTCTTTCTGAACACTTTCAAACAGTCCCATGCAAGTTAGAAAATGAGCGTGTGTTTATTGAAAACGAAGTTGAACATGAAAATTATTCCAATGGTAACGCCTGTTGGACTATTGAAAAGCAAAGTAATCTTGTGAATTCTGAAATTTAGTGGAGACAAACAATTACAATGATATCTAACTGCAATTGTTTTTCTAAGCAACTATCTACGTGAAGCTTCACTAATGGTTATGTTCGTTAACACTGAACATTGTACCTTAAGATGCTACAGGTATTTGGAGTTTGACCGCTTTAACCAGTAACACCTATGAATCGTACCCACCTAATGAAATCAAAAGTCGGAATCGAGGGGGTTGGAAGATATATTTGTTAGGCTACCAATATATCGAGAATTGACTGATCTATGTTGGCTAGTGATTACAGAGGATGTTGAGCACGACGTTCCTACTTGTGATCTGGAGCAGATCCATGACCGAACACCTTCAGCTAGGTGAGCCCATTAAAACTAATGTGGTAAGCATCCAATGTCGAGGACTTACACAGCTATTGATTTTGGGGATTTATTTGCCGTTACATACCTAGAGAACAGCACATAATAATTATCATTTCAAATTAGTACGCACTTGTTGTTTTTTCTTCGATAACGCTTTTGTATTTTGTCTCTCATGTCGTGAAAATAGTCCGTATGCACAATTCTACCGGTAGAAACACTAGCATGTTATGAACGAGAAAATAGCAACGTAAATGGCTAGTAAGAGACCTATCTTCTTTTGATGCTGCTAGTCAACAGAGATACAGCTGCTGATGTTTTGCGAGATAAAGTGATTATAGCAATGAACTGAACGTTTAGTACAGTTAATCTCTGCCGATCGTTCTTGATCTGATCTATGGGGATTTCTCAACTAAAGGATAAATAACCTGGTTCTGCCACATTTATTTGTATCTACGAATTAAGCTGTTCCTGTTAAGAAAGCTATATTGGGCGCACAATCAGACAAGTTAGTCAACGAGTTAGTAAACACCTTTCGTGGTTAGGAAGGGGTATCATCAAAATAATTCACAGCTCTATCCTATAAGACTTGATCGATATTGGTTAATATGGTAGTTATAAATAGGTCATTTAAAGTGATTTATCTCATTCTTAATAGTTTCCCTTATGGGATTCGATCTCGTCTCGTACACATAGCAGAAGCTATATGGATCCGAATTAACAATCCAATTCTTCGTATTCATAAGAGATTTGTAACGTCTCTATCTCTTCCTTATCCGAATTAGCTTCAATAGAAAGACATTATAATCTTTCACTCTTTTTCTTCGTACCCCTTTTCTTCAAGTATACGCTTCATTGTCCTATTATCTGAACACTTCTGACTATGCAATCTTACGGTTTTTATGAATGTTATTTCGGCATCTATATTTTCAAGTCAGTGACCTATCTCCCATTATGAAAAATGGATTCAAGCCTTTGTTATTCTTATCAAAACTAGTACATCTGTCATCACACTATCAATTTGTTATCCTTGCTTATTATGTTTATTTGTGTAATCTATTCCACTGTTATCATTGACTCACAAACCGCCTTGATTGGTTTAATAATTCCGTATATGCATATAAATATCACTGTATATTATACTAAAGCTCGGTGGAGATCCAACTTAAAACAATATCTGTATTAGAGATGGATAGTGGCTAGCAGTGGGATCCAGGACGCGCGTTTCGTCCTATTTGGGACTCGTCAGCTGCTAGCCACTATCCATCTCTGCTTACCATGCTTGTGAATTAAGGCTATATTGAGGCAATACGCACAGTATGCACATATGCCAATTGGAGACTGACCAGTTGCAGTCCTAACACATCGATGGGATGATTCAAACAAACAATACTGAATGAATTTAATATCTGTATTAGTTAGGAAAATCACAGAAGTTATTGCAATGAATATCTTGATGGTTGGACTTCATTCCACTTGATCATTATCAGCTATTCTTGAATAGAACAAAGCCTGATTTCTATTACACTGGAACAGTACGTTTGAGTCTGCTCGAACTCATTTTCCCTCAGTGTTCATTTACATGTACAACTGCCGTATTTAAATTACCACTGTCTTGCGAGTGGTCTAAAAAAGATACCTGTCGAATATTGAGTTTAACTTCAGTTGAATACTATCATATTTTTGAATTTGTGGCTGAGCATGCTTATTACTAGAGCATATCAACAACGTAGTGTGTATTGTCGATCAGCAAGAAAAATCGCACTTGTACATTGGAATAAACGGTAGGGAACCTTGGCTTTTAGTGGTGAAGCAGTTGAGAAACATGCAAGCTCGGTCCGTGAAAGATTTATGGAGAACTGTACTTGGAAACTTACATCGGCTGAATGATTTTATAACTAGCACATCAGTATAACAAGATCGAATAATCTTCAGTACTTTAAAGTAGTAAAATAAATACCAAAAGTAATAGTATCAGTGAAAGTCACATTAAACTTAGGGAATATGATTCGAACAAAATAAAGGATATTGAATAATCTCAAAACTTCAGGAAAAATAACAAATGGATTTGATTCAATTCGACTTATTCAAAGTATCCAATCGTTGATTTTATTAGTCGCGCGAGCCCCAACCGAGTTACCTGAAACTACCAACATAACTGAGCCCAACAGTGAGTGAATTCACGGACCGTTCCCACCTTGTGGCTTCATACCTCCTAGGTTTCTTATGCCTTCTTAAGCCAGCAAACATCACCCGTCGATGGAAATGGTTTGCGGGTATGTGTAATCCAACCAGCCAAGTCTATAAAAATTCAGTGCCACTAACTGGTTCGCCTTTTTCAAGCATAAAACTTTGCATCTAACCTCAAGAGAAATCGTTCAGGGGTCCTAACACCAGACCAATATTTTAAACGCACCGAATATTTGGTAATACCCTCTGTTCTAAAAAGATATCGCGTAAAAGAAAAGACTGTTACATGGCATACTCGCCATTCGTTTCAGAGGTAGACGATTTACCAACGCCACAGCTGTGAGCTGGGAAAAACCAACTGAGCTTTCTGAATCCGTAGTGAGATTTTGTCAGATTCAACCAGTAAGGGTTGATAAAATTCGGAAAATACGTAAAGCTGACATCACATTCAACTGTGATCAATGTGGACAAGAATACTATTGAAGCAGAAATGCGTGTCAAGGGTGGTTAATGAACCACAAACGCCTACATTTTTACTCAAGAGCACCAAAAGATTGTATTTACTTGGCGTCTGCAAGTGAGATGGTGTCATCTGGGTATTTTAAGTCGGTAAGTGAACCTTTTAGTAGATAACTAGCTCAGAGTGTTATTTTGATGAGGGTGTCTGTGAGCAACTCAGGTTAAAAGTTAAAAGTCATATTTGTTTAATGGGGCCCACTGCGTTCTATGTTTACTAGTCTTGAAATCTTAAAAAATCAAGAATGAAACATTAGATAAAACAACTTGAATTCCATGTATGTGCATTTCGTAAATAAATAAAAAAAACCCAGATTACACTTGCTTAACAGTTCGTTAACTGCTACTCATAATTATGGTTCACGATTAGAAAGAAATCTATTTTCACTATTTTCAATTATACTGAAGATGAGGATGAAGAGTTATTACCATCAATTATGTAATGCTACAACAGATTTCGTTTTAAAATGCATTCTAACTGTAATCATATGAAAAATACAACCTGGTGATGTTCATACTAAGTGAAAGTCGTTGGATGCAAGCTGAACAGAAAAGATTAGATTCAGGAGAGAAGCTGTTGCACTCTGGTCATGAGGAAGATAAACCTTCCCACACACAAGGAGTTGCATTTATGTTGTTTAAATAGGTGCTAAAAATATATATGGGATGGGAATCTCATCAACACAGAGTTATCAAAGCATCCTTCAATAAAAGAAAGAAGGAGAGAATCACAATGAATGTTGTCTAGTGAAATCCGATCACCAGCGATTTCAACAAACACAACAAAGATGAGTTTCATGAAGAGCTTCAGCCGACCGCAGAAAAGTGCTCAAAAAAGAACTTAACAATCCTGGTGGGAAAACTAAACACCAAGGTCGGAATGGACAACACCAGGTATGGAGATAACATGAGACGACATGGACTGACTGAGAGAAATGAACGAAAACGGTGAGAGATTTCCAAATTAATTTGCCTTCAACAAAATAGTTATAGGTGGCACTATATTTCATCCACAAACGCATACACGAAACTAAATGGTTTTCACTGTACCACACCACACGGAACCAGATCGGTCACATATGCATCAATAAGAAATTGATGAGGTCCATCTAAAGTGATGATGAAAGTGAAGCTAAAGAAGCACTGGACAACTGGGGAAACATCATTACAAACGTTCAATACAGACTTCATTCGAGATACTAACAAACTGTTCGAATGCAAGATAACTCTCAACAACAGGTTCCAAGCCTCGCAAAACCTACTCAAAGAAGAGGAAACTACCATTGACAATAAGTGAATAGGAATCAAAGAAGCACTAACTTAAACGTCCCATAGGGTCCTGAAGCTCAAGAAGCACCATCATAAAGAATGGATGTCTATCAAAACCCTGGTCGAGAAACGAAGAACAAGAACACGGCAATTAAAAACAGTCGAACATGAACAGAAACAGCCAAGGCACATGCGGAATACACAGAAGCAAACAAACAAGTGATATGATACATTAGGGCTGATAAGCGGAAATACGAGAAGACCTGCCAATAACAACGCAAGAATCTAGGAGGGAAGGAAACACGAGACAAATATATGATACAACGAAGAAACTAGCAGGGAAATATGGTAAAGCGTAGTAACTATTCAGGAACAAAGAAAGCATACATTTAAAAATCAAATGAGTTGGTTGAAAAATTCTGGTCGGGGCTTCTGTACGCAGTTACTCAGTTGTATTAACTGTTACATCTGTAAAAAGTCGATCCGACCATCCTTAATTTATTTTATGCAAAAGACAAAATCAACTCCGCCTGTAGCTCTTTTAGAGTTACTGCCGGTCCCAAGCCCGGGTAAAGGAGGAGAGTTGAGAATGGGGTTAGCGACCCCATCCCGTAGAAAAACTAACTCGCTAAAAAAACGCTAACCAGAAAAAATAATTCAAACCATTTAAACTCTGCCCTCCGAGTTGAAGGAATAATTATGACGTCTCATGATGAAAGCCGAAATTTTTCGAAGTCACGAGGCCGATGTCCCTTCTAACAACCAGAGCAAAACTCTTTATAGGTACATGGGACGTCCGGACAATGTGGGAGACAGGGAAGACCAGTCAAATAGCAATTTAAAAGAGGAGATACAACTTGGCAGTACTCGGAATCAGTGAAACCCGTTGGACACAAGCTGGACAACAAAGGTTAGGTACAGGAGAGATGCTGTTCAAGACAGTTCTACTGTACGGAGCTGTAACGTGGAGAACTACTACATCCATCGTCAAGAAGGTATAAGCATTTATAAATAGTTGTCTACGCAAAATAGTCAACATCCTTTGGCCGGATACTATCAGCAACAACGTTTTATGGAAGAGGAGAAACCAGACTCCAGCTGAAGAGGAAATTAGGAAAAGACGTTGGAAGTGGATCGGACATACGTTAAGGAAATCACCAATGTGCATTACAAGGCAATCCCTAACTTGGAATCCGGAAGGGAAGTGGAAAAGAAGAAGGTCAAAGAACACATTATGCCGGAAAATAGAAGCATATATGAAAAGGATGAATGTTAACTGGAAGAAACTGGAAAGGATTGCCCTGGACAGAGTTGGATGGAGAATGCTGTTGAGCGGCCTATGATCCTCGACTAGGGGTAACAGGCGTAAGTAAGTAAAGTAAAAAGACAAAATCAGTTAATTACATATGGCATGAATGAAATTTTGTTCTTCCTTTCTGGACACTGATAAAAGAACTTTGCTTTCCACACTTATTATTTAATTGGAACAAAAAAATATACAAAATAAACAAAAAACTATTGACTATTTGCCAACCACCAATTTAAACACTCAATAGGTAGATTGATACATTGGAAAAAAATAAAAAAGAAGCATTTAGCTTAAACATTCCTAGTTGATTGTTTTGTTGTTGTTGTAAATTACATGGCTTTTATATCAATACAGTTTTGAAACAAACAAACAACAAAAACAATTTGATCCAATTCACTACTACTTGTTAGTAATATACAAGTTGAATTGACAAAAATAATCTGCCAAAACCGTATATAATCGCTGGTTAAAACAATCAGTTATCTCAACTCTGATAGAAGAATAAACTTGACTTTACTTTAAAGAAAACTTCATCATGATATAGTATCAATAAAGAAGAAGATATCAGGGGGGGGGTGAGTAGTCCAAATTCAAACATACTTTACAATATATAATCAAGGAATTAAAGTAACTATATATCAATATCATCTTGAGAAATTTTGACCAAAATAATAGTCTCAAGAAAAATATTAAAAAAAATAAAACCATCATTTACATTTTAGTATTTCAGTAGTAATTTAAAAAAAGAAGGCCAAAGAACACATTACGCCGGGAAATAAAAGCAGATATGAAAAGGATGAATAACAACTGGAAAGAACTGGAGAGGAAAGCTCAGGACAGAGTTGGATGAAGAATGCTGGTGAGCGGCCTATGTTCCTCCACGAGGGGTAACAGGTGTAAGTAAGTAAGTAATTTGAAAACTCACTGGTTATTAGTAGCATGTACAAGTAGCAAAGAAACTTTTTTATAAAATAATGATTTTGTTTATATAGATACATATATCACATCTCAAAAAGATAAATGGATGTAGGAAAACATCATTTTCAACAAAGAAATCATCATCATCATTATTCTTTTTACAATGAAATTGATGTGTCGTTAAATAATGGAGGAAGAGTCCAATAGGAATCTTGTGTATTAGTGCATACTCCTAAAATGTAATAAGATGGATAAGTAAACACATGTGAAATTATTCAATGGATAGATTATTTCAATGATAGACAAATTAATAATAGGGATGTATTAAGAAGATATAAGCGTTTTATCTTACTCCATGTCAATCTTATGCTCACCTACTTACATACTTACGCCTGTTACTCCCAATGGTGCCCAAACTGAAGCAGGTGGTTTTCTTAGGGGACCACATCCGGAGCCTTTGACCTAAAAATCTGATCCACAAGGCAGTGGAGCATTGTCAGGAGATGCAGTCCCATGGTAGTCGGTGACCAACGATTGATTCATACGCCATTTGTTCCCTCAGGATACTGGAACCCATGTGCACCATTGATTTGGAATCAGGGTTTTCCAACTCCCGTAGGTAAACTTTCCGTGTCTACCAACCCGGTTAAAGCGACGGACATTCGCTTTTCGTCCTCTCAATTTTGTAAACGATACCCCCGCTGAGAGAAGGCAGTGAGTAGGACTTCCCTAGCAGAGGCTAAATATTCACGTGGCCATGTGAGAGCGTTTCGAGAGAGAGAGCGGACTCTCCCCACTCTCGGCCCTACCAGGGCATTTGGGGGCATATATATATATATATATATATATATGATGACAATGCTAATTTCAAACTCGAGCGAAGTAGCTTTCTTGTGAGTATTGATCCTCCTGGATGGTATGCTAACCTAATTTTATTGAAAGTATATCCTGATATCTATCAGTATATTAACTTTTGAGATGATAATGTTGGCTAGCATAAGAGTAGAATGACTAGACTAAATGGTGGTAATAATTTATGAAATCATTGATAAATATGATGAATAGAATCAATCATATTTGTATTAACGATACTATTGAAGTAGAGACGAAGCTCTTGACTGAAACATTAATGAATAGGGGTTATTCACTGAAGTTTATAAACCGCTAGAAGGATTGTGATGTGAACAGAGACACAAGAAGCCTTGAAAAACTACAGAAGCTAATTTTGAGGACGTTATTCCATTTAATTCAAATCTTGTAAAACAGTAACATTTAATTTTGTCCTTAGTCTATTCTACAGATCATAAGCTTTCGTTTGATGTATGATTCACTGCCATAACCTTTTCTGTTCCAAAGCTATTGTAATTTAAACGTAATTTTTTGTATTCTATTTTCTACTCTAATCCTCCAGTTTTGGACATAATTGTATTTTCCTAATTGTTGTACGTTGTGGTCGAGTTAGTCATCTATTTATTCATGTATCTTTTTACACAAATCTAAAATTGGGATTCCGATCAGAATTGGGAATTAATCGATTAGTGTTCCAGTTGACTTTGTCTTCTCTCTCTCGTGCTTGTCAGTCGATCAGGTGATAAAATAGTTTTCGTATCTCTATCGTAAGCAGTTGATCTCATTTTGGAACTCACGTATACTAGCCTCAAGGTTAAGTCAGTCAGCCTATCGCGTCAAGGCCTTAATCTATATTCGACAAGTTATTCTCTGCATGAAAGTGGGTAGACAGATCAAGGACGTAAAAGGTTGTAATACAATTAGACTTATGACGCTTCTGGCACCTGAAAAGCGAGTTTACATTACGTCACTATTTAGAGGCGACTCAAATAGTCTCATGTTGGAACAGAGACTTAAATTAGCCATCAACATGACATTTTATGCAGCCCTGTTATTTTTGGAGCGATTACGGAGTTCCCACATCTGAGAACATGACAGAGACTCTGTGACCAAAGACTAATAAGCTAAATGTTTTGACGCGTCCCAGCTCCGCTAACTAGAGTGAGAAGTCCAAGTCGGAGTTCGGAAATATATTCCGAAAGCAGCCAAAAGCACAAACAAACACAAATCAAATGTATATATACAGCGCAAAATTGTCCTTGGGAAGCGTTTTAAAATATCATACTAAAAGATACAACGAACTAATAGCGTTTAAGATCCCCCAAGTGGAAACTATGGCATGAAGGCGAAAACGAGCGCTTTTGGTGCGAAAACAAGAAGTCCAAATTTTCAAAATAAAATTACGAAAATAAGACATTTACTAAGTGAGTTCTGGTGATGTAAAATCCTCAACAAGCCCAACTTGTCATTATTGAAAAGACAAGGTCTATGTTTCACCAAAAAACCCAAACAAAACGTAAGAGATTGTATCACATCCCATGGGATATCTTAACAAGTATATGTGTGATCAGATCACATTCGAAATGTATTGCACAAATATATAACATTGCATTCTCAAAACTATCATGAAACTATCTTTGAAGTTGAATACACTTGTGCCTTATCTCATTATTATGTATATAATACTCTTTCAATTATGAAAATACTAAATCTCCATAAAAACCCTTCTGATAATAATAATAATCATATGCTCACTAGTGACTGATTTAAAGAGGTAAATCCTGGAGTTCTAGTGAGAATCACTGAACAGTGGAGTTCAATCAAGTCTGTTGTAGAGACATCAACTCAGTGAAGACAATTGGTGAACGGTTACTCAATTTCGTGGATTGGTTGGAATTAGACAGAAACACTATCGGATGTCGGCTCAATGGTCTAGTGATTAAGTGCTCTTGCGAGGCGAGATCGTGGATTTGTACTACTGAGGAGTCCCATAATACGATGAAACGGGAGTCCAGTACTTTCAGGTTTTTCCTGGTGGTCTAGTTTCAATTGAATCATGATTTCAACTATGAAAATACTATTGATTAAATGAACTTATAGAATTAAAAAAATAATCATTTAATAAAATTGTACATTTATAAAGAGAGAGAGAGAGATAAAGAAGAACACTTACTTAATGTAAGTCGTACACCCTTATTCATTGATATAATTATAAGGCACAATTTTGTAGCTTTATGAATTATTTGCTTAAAACAAAATACAAAAAAAAATATTGACAAAAATAAATCATTGATTGTTGACATGGCAATTATTTATTTATAATTAATGTAACATGAAGTGAATTAGGTTTAAATGTAAATAATAAAACAAACAAACAATAGAGATCATGGAGATTAAAATTTTAATAATATGAATATGAATCAATTATATTTTTTTTATGATTCATATTCAACTACTCATATGAATTGTATTCAATATTAAAATGTAACGTTGCATTAATATAGAATAATTGGAATAAGTTGTAGTATCACTTTAGTTTATAGCAGTGAAACATGGCCAATAAGAGTAGAGGATATTCGTAGGTTACTAGTATTCGATCATAGATGTCTTCGAAGCATCGCTTGTATATCCTGGGACCAACGAGTAAGTAATGCTATTGTTAGGAAACGGGTACTAGGTAAGGATGGAAAATAGATTGATGAAGTAGTGAGACTTCATCAGTTGAGATGGCTGAGACATGTGTTACGTATGCTCAACCACCGACTGCCCCGACGTGCAATGTTTTATGTTGTAGGACTAGGTTGGAAGAAAGCTAGGGGCAGTCAGACCAAAACGTGGCACCGTTCCATGAAGTCACTGACAAGTGGACTGAGCTATGTTAGTAGGTAGTGACTACGTGGTTGGGATTCGCCAGATGATAGCAATCAATGGTTAGAGACATTGAATGACATGGCTCAAAATCGTTTGCAATGGCGAAGGTGCATCCACTCTTTGTGCGCTGCCAAATTCTAATCTTCTGATTTCTTCATTTCCTTATCTTTTTTCTCTTTCCAAATTTATTTCACTGGATTATACTCCTTGAATAACACCTTCAAATTCTAATCTTTCACATTAATGCTTATACTCTTACTACTTCTACCACTATGGGATTTGAATCGACAACTGCATCTCTATGTTAAAGTGGTATGGCAACTCGAAATGATGTACGTACGTACGTACGAATTTCTACGCTGTGACTGATTGAGAAGTTGTTTTATCGTTAAAAATGGCTCTATTAACTCTTTAGACTGAAAGAAAAGGTAGAATTAAATGTAAAGATTTGTATCATACATTTAACTCCGACCTGTAGCTCTTCTAGAGTTACTGTTAGTCCCAAGACTGAGTAAAACAGAAGGGTTTGGCATGGAGTCGTCAGCAACTCCATCTTATAAAAAGCAGCACTTTGTGAAACTCTGAACTGGGAGATGAATGAACTTCATTTAGATGGATTATGATGTCTTATGGTGTAAGACAAGATTCATTGGAAGTCATGAGGCCGATCGCCTCCCCCTTCTAACAACCAGAGCAACAATTAATAAATATAGGTGCCATACATTTATGTATATAAAAACATATAAATAATATATATTAACTGATAATGTATCTGTAGAAAGTTTTCTGTATGTTTTGAAGTTTCTATTCAATAAAGACATATTGTGGTGAACAAGAACACGGGTGGGGGCGATCGAAATGTGAGATGGTGGAGAAGATTTGTAACTCAGGTGGGTGATTTTGATGTAGATTTGTTCTCTGAGCTTCTACCCGAAGTTTCTTGCTGATGTCGTTCAGAAGAACGATGAAAGCTCCACAACCAAACCATCCAGCTCAGAGAACAAACCTACATCATAATCGAAATGTATTTGAACACAAAATTACAGAATATCTCACTCGAATCTGACAACCATACAGTAAATAGTTAATTTGCAAACTATCAATCAATTGTCTCAATCTTGACTGTTCTTTCTGAAAATATCAGTCCATCTTTTCTGATTTCATTGTTCATGCATTTACATATCAATTACGTTTTGTTTCCACTTTTTCGTTATCCATCTTCTGCTGAAATACATTTTATGCCTGACCATCACTATATACTACTTATGTGGATATAAGTAACCCATATCACAATATATACTAAATAATCTCTACCGATTTTTTATTCCAAGTATGCTGAAATGATTATCAATCGAAGACTATTGAAGTGAATAGTAAATGATAGAATGCCAAAAGTTAAAATCAATCGACTTTTCTAGACAATTTTATTAGATTGAGTAGATTTATTAGTTCCACAATTTACTCAATAAGCAGTTCAATAATTCATCTACACTTTTTAGTAGTCAATTCATGAATCTAATCACATAATAGTTTCTGGAAAAGATTTACAAATGTCAAAGTATCTTCAGCACAGAATTTGACATTATTTACTTTTGTCCACCATTACTTACTTTCGCCTGTTACTCCCAATCGAGCATAGGCCATCGACCAGCATTCTACAACCCACTCTTTCCTGGGCATTCTCTTCTAGTTCTATCCAATTTTTGTTCATTCTTCTTATGTCTGTCTCCATTTCTCGGCGTAATGTGTTCTTTGGTCTTCCTCTTCTCCTTTGGCCTTCAGGATTCCATGTGAGGGCTTGTCTAGTGACGCAATTGGGTGATTTCATCGACGTGTGTCCTATCCACTCCCAGCATTTATTCCTCCGCTGAATGGAATCTGGTTTGTTCTCTCCCACAGTAGGTTGTTGCTGATAGTGTCTGGCCAACTGATCCGAAGTACCTTGCGTAGACAACTGTTAATCAATACTTGTAACTTTTGGGTGATAGCTTCCGTAGTTCTCCATCTCTCCGCTCCATACAGTAGAACTGTCTTGACATTTGTATTGAAAATTCTGATCTTGGTGTTAGTTGACGATTGTTTTGAGTCCCAGATGTTCTTCAGTTGCAAATATGCTCCTCTTGCTTTGTCAATCCGCGCCCTCACATTTGCATCAGATCCACCGTGTTCATCTATGATGTACACCATTACATAATAATTTATTAAAAGAATCCTATTATCATTACAGAAAACAATAATGACAACAACTTACATTTTCGATAAATTCAAATTTTTGACTGATACTATTCTTTTCACACTTTTTAAAAACTAATACTCCAGTTCCAATACTTCGAATATTCCCACCATCCATACATCCTGCATGAACACGAATTGTACCACTTTCAGTTATTGCAAATACTTGATTACCACCTTGTCCATGACAATGTGTAACACCGACAGTTTCACCAAGTTTATGACCAAGAGAATCAAGACATTGACCAGATTTATGACGAATCTAGTGGATATGTAATGTGTGTAGGTATGAATTAGATAGTAAATTTAAAAAAAAAAAAGAATTTATTTATATCTAACCTAGTTGCCAAAACAACAAGCCCCCTTCTCCAGTAAATCAAAGTTTTATAAAAAATCATGCTAAAATGTAAAAAACCATGAAGGAGCTTATTATGAAAACTTCCTCAATTGAAAATAGAAACAATAAAATACAAGCCTTATTCCAGTTAGCCACAATGTAGAACTCCGTACGTACGTACATCAGTTCGAGTTGCCATACCACTTTAACATAGAGATGCAGTTGTCGATTCAAATCCCATAGTGGTAGAAGTAGTAAGAGTATAAGCATTAATGTGAAAGATTAGAATTTGAAGGTGTTATTCAAGGAGTATAATCCAGTGAAATAAATTTGGAAAGAGGAAAAAGATAAGGAAATGAAGAAATCAGAAGATTAGAATTTGGACAGGATAGGGGAACATATTCCAAGATGGTTAATCAAATCCATGATTCATCCACCTAGCCCGTCATCTCAAGATCGATCAAGAAACCCAGCCTCGTCCATTGCAAAACATCTAATGATGAGTGGTCATCAAATTGACCCAAAATCAGCCTTTAGAGTTGTGACATGTCATCAAAACCCACACACACTCAAACTACTCGAAGCTATCTTGATTGGTCGGAAAAGTCCAACTTTATGTGTTCAAAAACAACTGTACGTTGACCTTTGTTTACCATGGTTCTAGTAAGTGAATGTCATGCTAAATAAGAAATTTTGACCTTATCTTCAAAACTGTATTTACACGAATAACATGTTGCTTGTATGTGACTGACGAAAAAGCACGAAATGGTACTATTTCACAAAATTTGTCTTCTCATTTCTCTGTTCAGATTAGAATTTGGCAGAGCACAAAGAGTGGATGCACCTTCGCCATTGCAAACGATTTTGAGCCATGTCATTCAATGTCTCTAACCATTGATTGCTATCATCTGGCGAATCCCAACCACGTAGTCACTACCTACTAACATAGCTCAGTCCACTTGTCAGTGACTTCATGGAACGGTGCCACGTTTTGGTCTGGCAGCCACATTCCAATCATCGCAGTAATGGAATGATGAAGAACAATATCGTTTTGAAAGCATGAGTCAGATTTATACGATTTGTGATCAATGTGTTCGTAATGGTTTGTTGATTTAATTTATTTTAAATGATGTTAAAATGGTAACGGTATGTTCTTTATCAAGTACGTTGTATGCTGTTGAGCCGTTCAGTCTGAGTGAGAGGTGTTGGGCTATGGGGAAAAAACCCTTCCATCTTATTTTCCGACATATGTGTATGAATTAGTGAATAATTGAAGGTTAATACAAGGGTCTATTTTGATTACTTTTGAATGTAGTACAGCTATATAGTTACTCTTTTTTTTATACCTTTAATTTTAAAATTAATTCTTTTTTCAGTGTTACGAGCAGAACAACAATTGATTTTATGATATTCTATTCCGAAAAACTTATTTGATAAAAACATTATTTATTATTTAAACACATAAATATTGGTACATAGGGGCACCAGATATACATGCGCCAAACAAATCTCATTTGATTTGTGTGAGAGGTATGATACTGCCCGAGTGCCCAGGTGGTTTTATTAGGGGACTACACCCTGAGCCTTTGGCCTAAAGATCTGATCCAAAAGGCAGTAGAGCATCGTCAGGAGATGCAGTTTCATGGTAGCCGGTGACCAATCGTTGATTCATACGACATTTATTCCCTCAGGATACTGGAACCCATGTGCACCATTGGTTTGGAATCAGGGTTTTCCAACTCCCGTAGGTGAACTTTCCGTGTCTACCAACCCGGTTAAAGCGACGGACATTCGCTTTTCGTCCTCTCAATTTTGTAAACGATACCCCCGCTGAGAGAAAGCAGTGAGTTGGGCTTCCCTTGCAGAGGCTATATACGCGTGGCCGTGTGAGAGCATTTGGAGAGGGAGAGCGGACTCTCCCTCTAGGGCATTCGTTAAACTTTGTTCATCATAATTTTTTTTCAATCAATGTATTTTTTGCACGTTAAATGACATCATAATCATGATCTTAATTTTCCATTTATAAAATGTTCTAAACTGGTAAAATAATTCTTCTTTCGAATAATTCCTACAAATGACTGATAGGTCCTGAGATCGAATCTCACAAGGTGGGATCGCGGATACGCACTGCTGAGGAGTTTCACAAAAGGACGAAACGGCCATCCAGGCCAAATTTTTGGATAGGACGCGTATTTTATTCCATTAGGGACTTATCAGCTGAATGTAAAACTGTCCCAATATCTATTACTTCAAATACCAACTTATTATCCAATAAAAACTGTTAAGTATGAACAGCTGTTATGAGCCCCCAAATGCCCTCGTACAGTTAATGGTGAAAAGGGTCAGATCTCCCTCTCCAAATGCTCTCACATGGCCACAAGAATACAACCACTGCCAGAAAAGTCCTGTTTACTGTCTTCTCGCAGCATCACTGTTCTTTACGAAGTTGAGGAGACGAAATACGAATGTCCGCAGCTCTAACATGGTTGGTGGATATGGAGGATCCATCTAGGAGAGTTGGAAAACCCTGAATCCAAACAAATGGTGCACATGGGTTCCAGTATCCTGAAGGAACAAATGGCGTATGAACCAATCGTTGGTCACCGGCTACCGTGGGACTGCATCTCCTCACGATGCTCCACTGTCTTGTGTAACAGACTTTTAGGTCAAAGGCTCAGGGTGTGGTCCCCTAAGAAAACCACCTGCTTCAGTTTGGACACCTGAACAGTATCACAGCCCTCACACAAATCAAATGAGATTTATGCGGCGCACATTTGTTTTCGGTGCCCTATTTTACCAATATTAATGTGCTCAAATAAATAAATAAATAAACTTAAAAGGAATTATTTCCATAACCTATAAATAGTAAACAATAACAAACAGCAATGTTCTTAATTAACATTAGAACAGGTTTGTTTTATTGATTGGATCAGTTAACGAAGAACATGACAACAAAATGGTAAGTATTAGTAGTAGTTATATGAACAGGAGGAGAAAGATTCTAGGCGTAGCCAACTTCGATTAAATCTGATTAAAAATAAACATAACATAAAATTATGACTAATGTTCAATTATCGACTCGATCCTCTCTGTATTCATACTTAACGTTGTTTTTTTTTCTCCAGATATGGGGATTGATCAATAAACAGAATGAAATTTAACCCAATAAAAAGAAACACTACTTCATATAGGTATTTGTATAAGGTTAAGTAAAGAAAAACCATATAGTAACCATATATGTAAGATAATATTGGTATTCAATTCAAGTCACTGAGAGAATAACTAAAAAAACAAATTAAGAATCACTTCAATTATTCTTTATTTACAACTATAAAAGTTTGAAATGATTCTGGGTCGAATTCCAGCATTTTCAGAAAACGTATACATAATGATAAACTTATGAATTCAATGATTAAGTGAATAAGATCGAAATCTGAGAAAAAAAGTAATACACTTATGATTGTCCTGAAATATTTCAAATAAGAAAATACGCCAAAAATCGATAGGAGGAATAGATTAAGAACATTAGGAAGTTGACAAAGTACCAAAAAATACTTTGGGGACTATTCGTTTATTTAAACACATAAATATTGGTACAAAAAAGCACCAGATACATATGCGCTAAACAAATCTCATTTGATTTGTGTGAGAGCTTGGATACTATCCGGGTGCCCAGACCGAAACAAGTGGTTTTCTAAGGACGCCACACCCCGAGCCTTTGACCTAAAGGTCTGATACACAAGGCAATGAAGCATCGTGAAGAGATTCAGTCCCATGGTAGACGGTGACCAATGATTGGTTCATATGCCATTTGTTCCCTTAGGATACTGGAGCCCATGTGCACCATTGGTTTGGAATCAGGGTTTTCCAACTCCCCTAGGTGGACGCGCCGTGCCCACAAACCCGGTTACAGCGCCGGGCATTCGCTTTCAGTCTTCTTAATTTCGTAAACAACACCCTCCATAAGAGAAGGCAGTGAGTAGGACTTCCCTTGCAGAGGCTATATACTCGTGGCCATGTGAGAGCATTTGGAGAGGGAGAGCGGACTCTCCCCACTTTAGGAACAAAAGACGATGAATATTCCTTCAAATATTCAATGGAACAAATAAGTGTAAATATTTATTCGATATTTCATTCTGTAATTTAAATTAAAACAAAGTCGGGTTTTGAAATGAAATTAGAAAGCGGAAATCGAATCTCGACTGGACAATCTGTTTATTATTTTGAGAAACTGTTACATTATTCTATCATCTGATCTAGGTATTAATATGTACGCGATCCTGAACTGATACGTCAATAAGAATACTAGAAAGGCGTAATTGGAAAACTGAATGAATGGGTACACAACTCATTGGTATATATATATATATATATCCTTTTAGAAATAGAAAGGAAGGCCCACAACAGAGTGGGTTGGAGAATGCTGTTTCGGCGGCCTATGCTCCATTGGGAGTAACAGACGTAAGTAAGTAAGTACATCTATCCTTTAGATAAACAAGCAAAGAATTAGATAAAACGCATAAATGAACTTTATGAAATACGCTATCTTGTTGGTTAAAGTATTAGTTCCATGAGAATATATGAACAAGGAATAAACATTATGTAATAGCAAGATTATCATAATACATTACGTAAACAAACAAACAAACATCCAAACACTTACTTCACCTAATCTTATTACATCAATTGGAATAGATGATTCAGGATAAATATGCTCTAAATACCATCGGAAACTTTTACAATTTAATTGTTGACGTAGTTTTTTACGTTTAGTAACATCTCCATAGTCAACTGATAAAGCAGCTTTATTAGTGTAAATGAGAAAAAAACAACATTATATAACAACAATCATAAGAACAAATTCAGATAATATTGTATAATGTAACAGATATAATGATTATTATTACAACAATAATAGTTTGAATAATTTTTTCTGGCTAGCGTTTTTTTTAGCGAGTTAGTTTTTCTACGGGATGGGGTCGCTAACCCCATGCCCAACCCTCCTCCTTTAAACGGGCTAGGGACCGGCAGTAGCCCCAGGAGAAGCTACAGGCGTAAGTAAGTAAACACAGCAATAGTGTACAATATGTATTGTAACTCATTTAATAAAGTTGCATAATGTTTTGTGTAAAAGGCTAAGGATACTTCTGGACTATACTAATATCTATAATGAAGTAGACGGAGAGTGGTTTAAACCAACCTACAAATAGATATTCTAATCATTTAATATCAAGTGTACAAAGCATTTTAACTGAAAAAGTACTAATCACAGAGCGCTTAAGATTATCATTAATCATTGTAAGCAAAGATGATGTTTAGGACTGCAATTGGTCAGTCTCTAATTGGCATATATGCATACTGTGCGTATTGTTTCAATATAGCCTTATTTCACAAACATTGCAAGCAAAAATGGATAGTGTCTAGCAGTGGGTTCGAGTCCCATACTGAACATCAACTCTGAGATGCAGGTACATCCAGCTGACGAGTCCCAAATAGGATAGAACGCGCGTCCTGGATTTCACTGCTAGCGACTATCCATCTTTGTTTACAATGCTTGTGAAATAAGGCTATATCGAGGCAGTCCACACAGTATGCACATATGCCAATAAGAGACTGACCAGTTGCAGTCCTAACAAGTCGATGGGAAGATTCAAACAAGTAATACTACGTGAATTTATCGATAATCATATTTATTCGATAGTAGTCATGTTTTAGATACAAACTAAAACATCTAGAGCAAATTATTGTGTACTTTCAGTAATTCCCAATCGGGTTTGATCTTATTAATTACATATTAGAGGATTCGAGCCAACAACCTTCAGTCAGTCACAACGTAGAACTTCGTACGTACGTACATCAGTTCAAGTTGCCTTAGCACATTAACACAGAGATGCAGTTGTCGATTCAAATCCCATAGTATGAGCATTAATGTGAAAGATTATTGTTTGAAGATGTTATTGAAGGAGTATAATCCAGTGACCCTACCGTTGCTGCTACCTTGACGTGGTGGTCTAGCTTGCCTATCGTGATGATCCAATCGAGCTATGCTGGCTGGAACAATCGTTCCTCAAGGTCATACCATGCCTGACAGGTAGGTCGGTTGAAGAGCGATGAGACTAAAAGCAGCAAACCCAAGATCCGAAGGCGAAGTCGTACTGCTGACTGTACAGATGTGTGACAGCAGTAAGGTGTTTCCTTCAGACAACCAGCATGACAGCGATACTGCCTTCCCACAAGGAGGGGAGGGGTTAAAAAAGGTCGACCCTAGAAATGCACACCTCGCCTTATCCCACGGATATCCGTCTCCGGCGGTAAGGTTTTTTTTGAAGAACGGAACTAACACAAAAACTACCCACAAAAAGGTCGTGAGTGACCGACCTCAAGCAGTTATCCCTTGGGCACTGCGGTCACGCTCTCAGGTCATTAAGACCACTTCTAACCCAATTTCCTTTTCAGGTACCTCTAGAAGAACCCTTCCACGGTGTGGGCAACCAGGAAGTGATAACTGCCCTTATACCTCTAACAGCACTCAAGACCACTGTATTCATAATCAATCTCCTTCTTCAATTCCCACTATTCCTTCTACCTTGACTTTCAACACTGAACTTCCTCTCTCAGATTCCTCCTCAAGTGTCACCATGGCCAACGTTTCTAGTGCGCGAAACGCTGTCCCAGGTCTACTAAAACCTCGCTCCAAACTACACATTGGAGCCTTCAACGTACGTACCCTATGCCAAATCGGTCAACAGGCCTCCTTAGCTAAAACCCTAGAATCTCGTACCATTGATGTATGCTGTGTCTCCGAAACACGCATACAAGATCCTAGTGTGGTCATTTACTTGACCTCACCTCGCCAAAATGTGTGTGTTTAACAAAGCCAGTAATATATATGTCCTTTGCTTGGTCAGAGAAATTATAACCAACAAGTGAACTGGGTTTTTTTCTCTTCAACAACGTTGTTGTTGCCTTACATCTACTCCTTTCTTATTTATTTTACTTATTCTTTATTTAAACTTATAATGCACATAAATCTCATTACGTAATTTTAATAATTATGATACTGATCTTTTTTGTATTTTAACTGACTTACATATATTTACTTATGTAATGGTGTTCGTTAAACATATCACCTGTCGTCTTACTATAAATTTTGACTAATCCACCTAAGAAAATAATAATAAGATCAGTTTAGATTACAGCAAGACTCTCCGATACAATACAACATGCACCAATCGAATTACACTTGACGGAGAAGCATTGGAGAATGTTAAAACCTTTACATATCTAGGCAGCATCATCGATGAACAATGTGGATCTGATGCAAATGTGAGGGCGCGGATTGACAAAGCAAGAGGAGCATATTTGCAACTGAAGAACATCTGGGACTCAAAACAATCGTCAACCAACACCAAGATCAGAATTTTCAATACAAATGTCAAGACAGTTCTACTGTATGGAGCGGAGAGATGGAGAACTACGGAAGCTATCACCCAAAAGTTACAAGTATTGATTAACAGTTGTCTACGCAAGGTACTTCGGATCAGTTGGCCAGACACTATCAGCAACAACCTACTGTGGGAGAGAACAAACCAGATTCCATCCAGTGGAGGAAGAAATCAGGAAGAAGTGGATAGGACACACATTGAGGAAAGCACCCAACTGCGTCACAAGATAAACCCTAACATGGAATCCTGAAGGCCAAAGAACAAATTATGCCGAGAAATGGAGACAGACATGAGATGAATGAACAAAAATTGGATAGAACTAGAAAGGAAGGTCCAGGAAAGAGTGGGTTGGATAATGCTGGTCGGCGGCTTATGCTCCATTGGAAGTAACAAGCGTAAGTAAGTAAGATTACATCTTCACAGCCAAGATAATGAAGAATTCAACACTATGGGTGAATCAATATTAAGGTAAGCTTCCGAATAACTAGTGAAACAACTCTAAAAAAATAACTACGGAGAAAATACTTACCAATTAGGTAGTAAATTTAGAAAACACTACAGTTAAAAACGTGGACCTTTTTATTGCAACTCAAGGATCTAAAGATAAAGAGAATAGCTATGAAACCGGAAAATCTCATGTTCAATTGTTGATGGTTTCATAGGTGTGCATTGCTAGGCAGATCCATAAAGAAACAAAATTAATTCTTAGTGCTCACTGGTTTTCAATGATACCCTACTAATGTCAATCAGTGGTGAATATTTACTCAAGAGATAATATGATCAAATAATATTAAATGAATGTTACATAGATGGAGTGGCAAGCCCTAATTTAGAATCCGGAAGGGAAGCGGAAAAGAGGGAGACCAAAGAACACATTACACCGGGAAATATAAGCAGATATGAAATTGATGAATAGCAACTGGAAAGAAATGGAAAGGAAGGCTCAGGACAGAGTTGGATGGAGAATACTGGGGTGCGGCCTATGCTTCCCTACGAGGGGTAACAGGAGTAAGTAAGTAAGTAACATAGATGGAGTGGAATTAGAATACACATCCTGCTATTAGGTAAAATTTCAGTACAGATATATCAATGAACATTGATGTCTCAGTGTATCTAACTCTTACTGTATGGTAATAATAATAATAATAATAAAAGCTAAACTATCTAAATTAAAAATCACTAATGAAGAATAGTCATTTTTCATTGGAACACTACACACACACACACATACACACAAGTAGGTATAATGTATTAATGAAAAAAATGATCTGACATTCATTTTTCTTCTACCTTCGATTTATGACTAAACTACATAAACTACATATGTGTGCGCAACAATCAACAAACAGACATACGGCAAATGTTTCAGGAAACACAGAAGAAACTACATCTTGAGATGTTTATTTTTTTTAAGTAATATGTACGATCTGTTTACGTATATAGTAAAATCAATAAACCACATTGTATTATGTTACCAAGTAAACAATAGTAGACATTCGAATGAAATTGAAGGAAAGAAATGTTCATTTCAATTGTGTTAGTAGTAAAGATGAATGTACATGTTTAGATCTATACTTAAGTCGTTAAACAATATTTACTTTTGTATTATTGTAATTTACATATCCATTAACAATGTGTTCAAATTAACGAAACCCAGTCTAACGTTGCTTAACAGAATGATTGAAATACATTTCGATAAAGTAATAAGAAGACGAAGGAATAGGCCATAAGATTGATCTTAACTCGGCTTATATGGTGTTTTATAAAAGTGTAAAAGGGCGTATACTAAGGTTTATTAAAGCCTTTACAATACGAAAATCCAAACCCCCCTTTGTATATTCAAAACCACAAGGGTTTTTTTTGTGAAGATTTAGTATTTTCATTGTTGAAAACATGAGTCAATTAAAGGTAGACCACCATGGAAAACTTGGAAGCACTGGACGGCCATTTAGCCCTACTGTGGGACTCCTCAGCAGTGCACATTCACGATACCGCCTGACTCATGATTTCAACTATTAAAATTACTATAATATCCACAAAACTCATACTGATATAAACATATTTAATTCAGTTTGATTTGTATGAAAGAAATCGATTGGACAGCAAGTATTATTAATTATAAGAATAGGAAAAACATGTACTACTACGCAATTTAGATTAAAAGTCAGCGACTTCACGAGCTGGTAATATGTTCTGACTTATTTATGTTTAGCCAATTAATAACATAATTTCTTAAATTATCTCACTTCAGGTGAGAAAATGAGGATGTGACTTGTTATCGAATATAACAAACATGAACTTCTACATTACAATTGTTTTCAAGTATTATTCATAACTTAGGCATCTGCCTCCGATTTCCAGTACAATGTGTTCCTTGGTCTGTCTCTTTTTATTTGACCTTTAAGATTGCAAGTTGGGGATTTCTTCGTAATGTAGTCTGATGATTTCCACGTATCTGCCTCCAGGGTCTTTTCTTATTTTCATCTTCGGCTGGAAGCTGACTTGTTCTCGGTCATAGTAGGTTGTTGCTTATGATGTTAGGCAACTGTTTATAAATACCTGTACATTTTCGATGATGATTGTAGTTGTTGTTCTCAGTCTAGCTACGTACAATGGAAATGTCTTGACGTTCGTATTGAAAATCCTGACTTCCATGTTGGTTGACACTTGTTTTGATTTACAGATGTTCTTCAATTGAAGGGATGCATCCCTTTCTCTGTTAATAATTGTCTTCACATTTGCATCAGATTTTCCTTATTTATTGATGATGCTGATTAGGTACGTGAAAGTGTCGTCCTCTTCCAGAGCTTCTCCATTAAGTGCAACTGAGTTGGTGCTCTCTGTGTTGTATCTCGGTGTCTTTCTTTTCCTTTCAATATGTTGAGGCCTACTGCTGCAATGGCTGCTGCTACACTGGCTGTCTTCAATTTCATTCGTTGATGTGTATGAGAGAAGAGTTAAGTCATATGCAGAGTCCAAAACGTCTAGGCATACTTAAGCTGTCCATTGTATTCAGTGCTTCATTTGAGATGTGGAGGTCTTCATAATCCAGTCAAGGAAGTTTGCAGGCGCCATTTTGACGTTCAGTGGTTTCAATGGGACTGACCCATTCGTGAGTCCTTTAAAGTGTTGTAGTTACCTCTACGTATGACCTCAGTGCTTCAAATGGTATGTTGTCTCAACCTGTTTCTTATCCACTCTTCAGTTGTCTGATGATCATTCCTATTTCTTCCATCGTTGATGGAGTGACACCTATAGGATGGTCTGTTTGTGTTGCTTCGATATCCAGTGGGGCTGGTCTATTCAATAATTCCTCAAAGTTTTCTACACATCTGTTCCTCTGCTCATAGATCTCAGTGACAGGTGTGCTGTTCAGGACCCCCTGGCACGTTAAGGTTAATGCTTCTTTGATCCATATCCAATTATTTTCAATGGTAGTTTCCTGTTCCTTGAGTAGGTCTTGTGGGGCTTGGAACCTGTCGTTGAGAGCTATCTTGCATTCGACCAGTTTGCTAGTATCTCGAAAGAAGGCTGTAGTGAACCTTTGTAATTATGTTTCCTCAGTTGTACAGTACTTGTTTAGCTATAGTTTCATCATGGCTACCACCAGGTAGATGGTGATCTAAAGCTATATAAGTTCATATCTTTGTTCTCACGTCTTCTATGGACCTTATTAATTTCTTACTGATGGTGGATATGGAGGATCCACCTAGGGGATTTGGAGAATCCTCATTCCAAACTAATGGTGTACATGGACTCCAGGATCTTGAGGGAACAAATTGCGCATGAATCAATCGTTGGTCCTTAACTATCACGGGACTGAATCTCTTTACGTTGCTCCACTGCCTTGTGGATTAGACCTTTAGATTGATGGCTCCGGATGCGGCCTCATCAGAAAACCACCTGTTTCGGTTTGGGCACCTGGGCAGTATCATAGCCCTCACACAGATCGGATGATTTATGTGGTGCATATCTTTTCGGTGCCTCCTTGTACGAATATTTATGTGTTCAAATAAATAAATAAACGAATAAGTAGGAAGGCAAAAAATATAGATAGGAAATTATTTGACTCCTAAAGTACATCAAAATGGTTAATAAATACACCATGTTTCATATAATTCATTCAGTCAGATTAATAGTCAAGTTTGCATAGATTGAAGGGGATAGTATTTAGTATCGACTAGTCGATAACTTTCTGTATGAACATATTCACATTATCATACAATAATGAATCTATAACAAACAGATATAACCAACTGACTAAAGTATATAATCACTCTTTCTTCAGCTATCATCACACGTTGCAAGCGATTCGGCCGTCTTCTAGCTTCTTTTAAATCTATTCTCACACCAACAAACATCGAGCGTTAGGATTAGGCAGTGGTTAGGCACACATGATGTGTGTCTTAACAATAAGTAATCTAAGTATCCTTTGAGGGGAAAAACTAGGTTACGATTGAGTCATGATCGACAAAATATGAAAGATTAATGTATCATTTTTATTGGTAAACAAAAAGCGATTAAAGTGCAATTAAAGTCATAATGATGATGACATGGTTTTCCTATTACTTACATGGATTCAGCGTAAAATAAAATCGACTATATTGATCTAACCAAACTAGTGCAGTACGTACAAAATTCTTATGTAATATATGACTAACACCACCGGGCCATGTATATGGTGAAGATTTACGAAATACATGTCCAACACGACTACAAGGATCGATTAGTAATTCACCGCCACATTGCCAAACACGAAATGATAATTCAATATTTTCACCACCCCATATCTCCATATCTTCGTCATAAGCACCAATCTAGAAATGAAAAATTATAAATAGATGACATTTTCCTAGAATAGTATGTATAGAAATGTTAGATGATTTATGAAATAAGGTACTCAGGGTTTTGACGACCTAAAATACACTTTCGCATTCTACTTTTAAACCAACTCAAGTAAAACTAGACTTCATTCTAGTGTACAATGTGACTTTTTTACTTAGTCATTGAATTAAATTAAAACTAAGAATGTTTGTATCAGTGTAGCTTTTTTATACCTGACATCAGTACAGCATGAGAAATAAATAAAGCAAGAAGGATTTATTCTAGGAAAGAGAGGTAATTTGAGCTACAATAACAAAATACCGACTGAGTTTGTTCGCATTGTTTTCTTTGTTTACTAATTGAGTCGTACCAAACACTTACGATTATATGATGGGTAAATTATGTACATTATGGTGTAAATTTAATTGAATACTTCATTTCAAGAGGCTGGATTAGGCAACAACTGTCTACTGTTTGTCTAATGTAGAGTATGGTATGACATCCCAGATGAAAAATACAGTTATAGTAAAAGTTAGGGATGGAAACAACAGTTAAAGGATAAATGTGCAACTCAGACGGATTTTTTTTAGTGGTACTGTGTTATATGTTAGTTAGTCTAATAGTTAAAACGATAATATCAAAAAATATTCTGTCAGAATATATACTATATTCTGGAGCTCTATTGGTTCAAAATCCATGGGAAATATGTCGTCCCATTAGTATTTTCAGGTTTAAGACTGAAGCTCCGATAATCATGGACCGAGCAAGAACGATTACATTTGTATAATACCATAAATTAATTGTATTTTGTTGCTTTCACCTACTAGACACGGAGCATAATGTGGATCCAATGAACTTATTCAAGGTTATCAATGAACAGTTTAGTTACAAGCTACTGAAATTCACACCCGACCGTTGCTGCTACCTTGACATGGTGGTCGGGCTTGCCTATCGTGATGAATCAATCGAGCTATGCTGGCTGGGACAATCGTTCCTCAAGGTCATACCATGTCTGACAGGTAGGTCGGTTGAAGAGCGGTAAGACTAAAAGCAGCAAATCCAAAGTCCAAAGGCGAAGTCGTACAGCTGACTGTTCAGAGGTGTGACGGCAGTATGGTGTTTCTTTCAGACAACCAGCACAATAGCGATGCTGCCCTCCCACAAGAAGGGGTGGGGTTAGAAAAGGTCGACCCTAGAAATGCACACCTCGCCTTATCCCATGGATTTCCGTCTCCGGCGGTAAGGTCCTTTGAAGAACGGAGCTAACACAAAAATTACCCACAAAAAGGTCGTGAGTGACCAACCTCAAGCAGTTGTCCCTTGGGCACTGCGGTCACACTGCCAGGTCGTTAAGACCAACACTAATCCAACTTTCTTTCCAGGTAGCTGAAGAAATACCGTTCCTCGGTGTGGGCAGCCGGGAAGTGATATTAGCCCTCATACTCGTAACTGACTGAAATTCACAGAAGTTATATTAGTCCGAAAGCTTCAGTCTGACCTTTCTATTCAGAGTAGTTAATCAGTAGTTAAACTTTAATTGCCTTAACAACAATTAACCTTTTTCAAATAGATGTAATCACAATTTAATGAGTTGACTTTACGTGTTCACTTTTCTTTCTAAACTTCTCAAATTTGTTTTATTGACCAATAAAATTATCTTAACATTTTACATCAAGCAATGATAAAAACTACATTTTTTTGCAAGCTTAGTTCTTAAATTATATCACAACACATATAACCCATTCATTATTGATCGACGATTAAAACTGATACCATGTTATCAATTTAGAAGAATTAGCTTCTATGGATAATTTTTTCTGGTTAGTGTTTTTTTTAGCGAGTTGGTTTTCTACGGGATGGGGTCGCTAACTTCATGCCAAACCCTCCTCCTTTATCCGGGCTTGGGACCGGTAGTAGCCCCTGGAGAAGCTACAGGCGGACAGACATGAGGATAATGAACAAAACTGGATAGAACTAGAAAGCAAAGCACATGACAGAGTGAGTGGGTTGGAGAATGCTGGTCAGCGGCCTATGTTCCATCGGTAGTAACAGGCGTAAGTAAGTAAGTAAGCTTCTATGAAGCTGAAGAGAAAGCTATGAAATACAAATGTGGTTCATTGAAATTTTTGAATGGAACTAATTACATCAATCATGGACCATTTGTCTACGAAAATATCAACCTGATCGTAATCATCTTTCTAAATGAAATTTCAAAAAAACAAACCAAAAAAATAACAGACAGAAAATAATCTATTACCTCATAAAAGTATTCACGAGTGATGGTAAATAGACCACCAGCCATGGTAGGTGTTCGTAATGGGACATTATGTTCATCATTAATACGATCTATTTCTCTATCTACAACAGTTTCCCAATGAAAATTAAATTGCCAATCGAATGTACCCCATGTACGATCAGAACCTTAATTGATGAGAACATGTTTAAAAAATAAAGTTTATTTATCATAAGTATAGTGTACATGATTTCATATTTATTTATTTTATTTAAACACATAAATATTGGTACAAGGAAGTACCAGATATATATGCGCCCCACAAATCTCATTTGATTTGTATGAGGGCTGTGATACTGCTCAGGTGCCTAAACTGAAGCAGGTAGTTTTCTTAGAGGGCCACACCCCGAGCCTTTGACCTAAAGGTCTAATCCACAAGGCAGTGGAGCATCGTGAGGGGATGCAGTCCCAAGGTAGACGGTGACCAACGATTGATTCATACGCCATTTGTTCCTTCAGGATACTGGAGCCATGTGCACCATTGCTTTGGAATGAGGGTTTTCCAACTGTCCTAGGTGATCTTTCCGTGTCTAATAACCCAGTTAAAGCACCGGCCATTCGCTTTTCGTCCTCTCAATTTCGTAAACACCCCCACCACAAGAAGGAAGTGATTTCATGATTTCATATAAAAGATGATGATGACGTGAGATGCTAATAAAAAAAACATGGTCCTCTTTAAAGAAAATTCAGAAACAACTAAAAGCTATTTAGTCGAAATAATATGATCTCTAAACTGATACCTATTTTGATTGTTTATACCACGAACTGATCTTAGTTAGATAACCATAGAAAAATCAGGATACACTGGACAAATGTTTCATCCTTGTATGGGACTTCTCAGAAGTATGCATAAGTGGTAGGACGACTAGAGTTCTAACACAATTGTTTTAAAATGTTATAATTATCATAGAAAATCCTTAAAAAGTAGATAACGATAGAGTGATAGACCTAAACCCCCGAATGCCCTGGTACGACCGAGAGTGGGGAGCGTCCGCTCTCCCTCTCCAAATGCTCTCACATGGCCACGAGTATATAGCCTCTGCAATGGAAGTCCTACTCACTGCCTTCTCGTGGCGGGGGTGTTGTTTACGAAATTGAGAGGACGAAAAGCGAATGTCTGGAGCTTTAACCGGGTTGGTGGACACGGCGCGTCCACCTAGGGGAGTTGGAAATCCCTGATTCCAAACTAATGGTTTACATGAGCTGAAGGAATGAATGGCGTATGAATCAATTGTTGGTCAATTGTTGATCATCTCCTCACGATGCTCCACTGCCTTGTGAGAATATACAAACTTAAAAGCGGGTAGGAAAAAACATTCGAAAAGACTAATGAAATCCATTTTTTAATCCGAGTGACAAATGAACAATTAGTTCAAAGGATAAAATCATTATAATTACAAAACCTAATTATTGAGACAATTACACATATAACTAAATATTAACAGTTCTATAGATAAGTGTTTATTAATTTGTAACTTATGATCTTTCAATAAAAAAACTAATGACTTACATCTTATTTCAAATCCAGAGTCTTTGTTAAGTCTACTTTATGTGACAAACAATAAAATTATGATGATTACTAATTAATATGTACATGGTTACTACAATTTCATTTTTATATTATGACACGTTCGAAATGTTACTCTATCAACTTTTAGTGGGGAGAGTCCGCTCTTCCTCCCCAAATGCTCTCACATGGCGACGCATATACAGCCTCTGTCAGGGAAGTCCTACCCACTGCCTTCTCGTGGCATTACTGTTGTTTACGAAATTGAGAGAACGAAAAGCGAATGTCCGGTGCTTTAACCAGGTTGATGGATACGGAAAGTCCATCTAGGGGAGTTGGAAAATCTTGGTTCCAAACCAATGGTGCACATGGGCTGGCTCCAGTATCCTGAGGGAACAAGTGGCTTATGAATCAATCGTTGGTCACCGTCTACCATGGGATTACATCTCCTCACGATGCTCCACTGTCTTGTGGATTAGACCTTTAGGTCAATGGCTCCGGGTGTGGTCTCCTAAGAAAACCACCTGCTTCAGTTTGGGCACCTGAGCAGTATATCAGCCCTCACACAAATCAAATGAGATTTGTGGGGCGCATATGTATCTGGTACCCCCTTGTACCAATATTTATGTGTATAAATAAATAAATAAATAACCAGATTGTCTTGACATCATGCCTATTATTAATGATAGTTATTAATTGTTTTTACCAGTAACAGTGAATCCTATATGGTTAATGATTTGCCGGCTCACTGTTTCCCTTTTTTTTTCTCTTCCAGATTCATTTACACAGGCTGTTTTTCAAATTTCACTACTATTTAGCACAAAACGTACCTTCAGGTTAGATGAGAACCTGTTGAAGGTTGAATGCTACATTATTATCACAGTATTACTGAAACTCTGTTCCGATAACTGATCATTATAGCCATAATAAGCACCACTTATTATTAGTATTTGGACACAAATACTGGTACGTAGAGGCACCAAATACATATGCGTCACACAATAACAATGACAGTATGAAGAGATAAAGAATTTAAATTGCGTATAAGAAAAAGGAGAACGAAAACGAACAGAAATTAGCGTATGAGAGTCAAATAATAATGATAATAATTGAAGAAGTAGCTCAGTTGGTGAAAGCATAACCATAAAAAATTTCTTTCAGTTAAAGAAGTTACATCTAATTTTATGGAGAAAGTTACAACAGGATCGCCACTGATTTCTATTCTGAGCCATATGTGATAAAGCCTCAAGCCACTGTGCCTCACCATCTCTAGGACCCCAAACAGGGAGTCGTGAAGGACTAGCAGAAGCCATCCTTGTATAGCTCTCTTTCATACTGCGACATCATGTAATACAATGAACACCTCTATGCGGGACGTTTCGCGAAGCCACAAGCGACTTTACTCGCCATTTTCATGACGTCATGCATTTGCAACCAATGCTCGTCAATATTTTCCGGTGGAATGGTAGCTAACCTTCAACCTAGATCGGTTTGGTATTTAGTTGGAACAGAAGCTACAACCAATTTGCTGACATCGATCATTTTAGGACGATGAATTTTTTTGGCCACTAAAAAAACGTAAGGTAAGATTAGTGCAAACAAGGGTATGATCAGAGTCCAGATAGGTACTTTAAAAGGAGCGGCAGTATATTACACGACCACAACAGCAGTAGCTGATTGCGATGTGATTAATCTGAATCCAGGTTTGAGATGCAGAGGGATTATGCCAGGTAGTATACAAGAAATGCCGGAAATGCGATCACTTCATTCTAATTTATAAAGTTCGAAAGACTCAACAGCGAATAAAAACAAATACAATATTGTCTTCAAAATAGATTACATCAACTAAGAGAAACGTTACATCAAACCATGCGACATGATATGCTATCGTTCAAATCTATATACGTATACAACTACGACTGTAAAAGTGCCAAAATTTTAAGAACTTCATCACATTTTTGAAAGCATGAAGTTTAGACTAATTAGCAACAGTTAAAGAATATTAATACAGGTCGAATCTATTAACTGGTGAGAAAAACGTTAGTCAATTATATGATCAAAGGTAAACAGTCAAAAACAATCGACACGTATGAAAGCTAAAACGAAGATAATCAATTACAAACAAAGCTATAAGAATGGACTGACTTAACAGTTGTGGAATAATTGGGAAGCTCAATTTTACAGGAAGTACGGGCCGATGATATTGTCCAGAACGAAAATGAGAGCTTCGCAATTATATACTATAGTTTAAAGGACACAATATCACCAAGGGACCAGCTGCACTCATTGAAAAGCAAATAGTAATTTTATCTGATTATGAGACCAAACAGTGGCGGACACTTACAACAGCATACAAGGGCCAAACCTAGGACCTTACAGTCTCGTTACGACTGTCGATATACCAAGTCAGGTTGTGTTGGTATTTTCAATTACAATTGGTTAGAGAAAATGGAATGATTTTCATTCCAATGTCATCAGTGCGATAGTGGCTAGTAGCAAAACCCAAGATTTAAGCATTCATGCACATTCAAACAATGTTGATGTTCACATATTGGGATGAAGATATATTCACCAACTGATGGGTCCTAAATATGACAAAACACGTCTTTCGTAATCTCACTCCTAGTCACTATTCAAAATATACCAAAAGTTTATCACCAAAGGAAATATCGTAAAATTCATCTAAGGAGCTCCTTTACCACTAGAGATGGATCAAATCCAGCAACGATAAAAACACACAATTTATTGAATAGTAAGAGATAAAGGATAAACTTACCAAGAAGATATTCAAATGTATCATGACTAATAACATCAATGATTGGGCAAACTATACGTTTTTGATTTTCTGAAATATGTTTAAGTAGAGTTTCTAGCCAACCAATAGTCACTTCACAATGTGCATCTAAGAATGTAAGTGTTTTACCAGTGGAAATTTTTGCTCCATGTAATCGAGCACGTATTAAACCACTTCGATTTGACATTCGTTCAATTCGTACAGGTTTATTTAATGACTTTACATAATTTTTCAATTGATCACCTAAATGGGCTGTAGACAATAAAAATTATCATAGATACGTATGAACAAACTGGGACAGTGTAGAACTACACCATAAGACAAAACCATACAAATAACCAAGAGTATGTACACCAGTATATATAGGGAAAGAAATAGGAAAAAAGAAAGAGCACTTTTCAATAATATGCTCTTAATTCGAATGGATTTAACAAGGTTGTTAACATTTTCCAATAGTGTTCTAGTACTGTAGTGAACAGAACACTGGTTGGGGACAATCGAATGTATTTAAGCAAAGATTACAGACTATCTCAGTAAATTCTGATAACCAAACAATGAACAGTCAATTTGCAAATTAACAACCAATTGTTTCAATCTTCACGGTTTCTTCTCTTATTCCATTGCTCATGCATTTTCCAAACGATTGCGCTTCACTTGAGTTCTTTACTAATCGGTCTTCTGCCAAAATACATTCTATGTCTGACCCACACCATATACTACTTATATGGATATAAGTAGACCACACCACAGTACTACTAACTGTTATACCTTGTAACCGAGTGGATGCCCCGTTAATGTATGACGTAATAAGACCGCCAATCAGAGGGAAGCGAATTATCGGTTGCAAAAGTGACACACGAAAACCGTACGAGCAGTCTAGAGTGCTCAGTCAGTGACCAACTTGATCTCGTGTGCTGTTACGGGTATGAGGGCTAATATCACTTTCCGGTTGCCCACACCGTGGAAGGGTATTTCTTGAGGGACCAGAAAAAGAAGTTGGATTAGCGTTGGTCTTAACGACCTGGGAGTCTAGAGTGCTAATAGGTTCTGCTCCTGCCAAGCCAAGCCAGTTAAGTCCAGAACACCAATAACAGCCTCTATGCTATGAATCTTTGTATTTCAAACATACTGGGTTTATATACCAAACAGACTGACCAAAACGTACCAATAAAATAGAAAATAATATTTGTACAACATTTAGCCAAATGCAACTGTGAATGTGTGGAGCAGCAATTAATAAACTAGAGATAAATCAAGAATGGTCAATCGTACAATAATAGTCCATAGGTCAAAATAAAGTTTATAATAAGGAGAACACAAGTATGAATAGTCTAGTTATTTAGCAATTATACGATGATAAATATATGCATAATACTGGTCAATAAATGGGAACCAAAGTTACCATTCACTATTGTTATCAGGTCACAACATCTCCCCTTTTTTTGAAAAATCCGGAGCTGATATCCGGATTTTAAATTTTTTGAGCCTGTCCTTCCCCACGAAATAATGTTGGATCCTCATATACCCAAGTTTCTTTTAATCCGATTCTATTTATAACATGTTACTCGCATTCAATAGGGAACCCGCTAAGACTGACTAGATGGTGAGAATCGACATTTGATGTGAGGTCAGGATCTGGTTCTGCTGAAATGTAGTCATCAAACTTATTGTGAATATCGCTGGTAGGTTTGGGATCACTATGATAAACAGCGTCCATCAAAAATGCACTAGGTTCTAGATTATCATTTGATGCATGTGACACATTTTCTGGAAAAGCTTGAGAATCTTGATCATTAGATTTGGCAGAAATTTCTATTGCAGAATGTTGAGCTTTGCTCGGTGGAACTGCATTCGGTGTACTACTCGATTTGATCTCTGTTTCTTTGTGGGCGGTTGCTGCGACAATTTCATGGGCATTCAGTATGGCATCGTCTTCATGAGAGCTGGAAACGTCACTGTTCGGACATGCTGTTTCAGGGATAGTGGGGCTTGAATTCACTACCGGGCATGTTTCGGAAATGGACAGTAATGAACAACTGGGCGTGTCTTGAGAGACTGCTGTTTCGTTTAAGTTACGGCTTGTCGAGGATTCATGGAGGCTGCGATCATTTCCCAGTTCTGTGTGCAATTCAGCGATCAATCCATCTACTTCCAACGCATATGCAAAACACTGGTGATTCAGAAACTGTGTGCGTAATTTGACCATGAACTCCAAGTGTCGCTCAAACAGCAACTGTAATCGATCGGAAGGGAGCGTCATTTTTCACAGTATGACTAATGACCAATGGCATTCAAGGACACCAAGACAATGCTGGATGCTGATTGCGCAAAGTAATTGCCTGATTTTCGACCAATTGCAAGTTGACTTTTTTTTAACCCCGTCGCCAATTGCTATATCTGAAGCGTTTCGAATTCACTAGTTAGTGAACGGAACAAAGACTTGTGACCATAAACCTATAAGCTAGCTATTCTGGCGCGTCCCAGACCCAGCTAACTAGAGTAAGTCGGAAGCGGGGAAAATATATTCCGTAGCAGTCAGAAGCACAGCAATCGTAAGGGAAAAAATCAAACGTATATATACAACAATAAATTGTTCTTGGGCAGCATTACAAAATAGCACACTCAAAGATACAACGGACTAATAGCGTTTAAGATATTTTGCAAGTGGGAAACTCGACTCGAAGGTGAAAAGAGCGCTTCTGGCGCGAAAACGAAGAAATTCAAATTTTCAAAATAAAATTACAAAATTAGGCCATTTACCAAGTACGTTCTGGGGATTTAACATCCCCAACGCCTCCCCTTTTTAATAACGGACATTCTTGGGGTCCACTTGCATTTTGACTGTCTGTCGCCGTTGGCGCAGTGACCACCTTCTGGACCGTAGATTGACTAGTTGTGCTTCTTCTTGTGTTGGGGCTGCCGGCAGATTAAACGTATCTAACAGTATGTCCAGCCGTAGCTTTCCTTCAGTCGATGGGCGCGCTGGAGCTGACCACTTACGTAGTTGGTTTCGGTGCCTAGTCCACCTGTCTGCTCCCACCTCAACCTCGTACATAACTTTACCTACCTTTCTAACCACACGTGATTCAATCCAGGGACTATGATTTGGTCTGTAGTCCCGAGCGAACACTGGGCATCCAACCTTGTACGTCGGTAGCTTCTGGGACGTGGTTTGCGATGGCGGTGGTGTGGTTTTCGGAAGCATCAGATTATGGATGGTCCTCAATCTTCTTCCCATGAGGATCTCTGCGGGGGACTTCTGCTCAGGTAGCATGTCGTTAGGTGTCGTTCGGTAGACGAATAAGAAGTTTTGCAGTTTTTCCACTGACGTCCCCTCCCCTTTTGACTTGACCAAAGCCCTCTTAAATGTATCCACAAATCTCTCTGCTTGCCGTTTGATTGTGGATGATAAGGAGGGGCGCGAAGATACTTGATAGATAGGCGTTTGCAAAACTCTTGGAACTGAGTTGAAGTGAACTGTGAGCCGTTGTCGGATACAATTACATCCGGTAATCCGTTGCAGGCGGACAACTCCGTTAAGTGTTGCAGCGTCTGGCTGGTCGTTGGTGGCGTGATGGGTACAATTTGCGGCCATTTTGAAAAGGCGTCGACCACGACTAGATAGGTGGTTCCGTTTATTGGACCGGCAAAGTTGACATGTATCCTGGACCAGGGATACTCAGGCTGTGGCCATTGGAGCGGCGGTATTCTCGCATTACATTTCGCGAAAAGACACTTTACAATGTAGTTGACCCATCAAACGTAAGTAATTACCTCATGCCGTACGAGGTTTTTGTGTTGTTGTGACCATACGTGTTCTGCCCATTTTGACTACTCACATTGTAAAGGGTCTTTTCGCGATTCGACGTTCACTGGGGTATGTTACATAGCACCAGTTGATCTTAATTTACTTGGCTTAGATTGGTTTGACCAGCTGCATTTAGCTGACGTCCCGTTAAACACCGTGTATCATCTAGTAAAGCAACCCCATGACCCGGAAGCATATTCAAAGGAACTAATGACGAAGTTTTAGACCGTTTTCCAGCCTGTTTTGGGCGGTGCTCAGCCATGAAAGTAACACTTCGACTGAAACCTGGGGCTAAACCTGTTTTTCGTTCAAAGAGACCAGTACCATACGCTGCATTATCGAAAGTTGAGGAAGAACTTAATCGCCTTCAACGTCAAGGAGTTATTACTCCTGTTTCTTGTTCCGCGTGGGCAGCACCCATTGTGGTTATCAAGAAGGCTAATGGTACGATCCGAATATGTTCAGATTTTTCCACAGGTCTCAATGCAGCCCTAGAACAGCATCACTACCCGCTGCCAGTCCCGGCAGATTTGTTCACTATGCTGAATGGTGGAAAGTTCTTTGCGAAGCTGGATCTTGCTGATGCCTATCTACAAGTAGAAGTGGCTGAAGAATTGAGAGAGCTGCTCACCATTAATACACATCGTGGCCTGTTCCAGTATAATCGACTACCGTCTGGAGTTAAGACCGCCCCATCTATTTTCCAGCAACTAATGTATACCATCCTATCGGGTATCCCGGGGGTCGCAACTTATCTTGATGACATCCTGATTGTTGCCACAACGTTAGAACAGCTACGAGAACGCACAACAGCCGTACTGCGACGCGTCAGCGAAAACGGACTCCGGCTACGCCCGGAAAAATGCCAGCTTTACTTGAAGTCCGTGGAGTATTTGGGTTTCATCTTTGATGCTGCAGATCGCAGACCAGACCCCGAGAACATCCGAGCTATAAAAGCCATACCCATTCCTATCAATATCTCTGCTCTCCGATCATTTATGGGATTAGTTAGTTACTACTCAGCTTTCGTTCAATCGATGCATGACATCCGCGCCCCACTGAATTACCTTCTGAATAAGAATTCTAGCTGGAACTGGACAAAAGAGTGTGAAACTGCCTTTTGCAAGCTGAAGACAATTATTAACTCGGAACTACTATTGACGCATTACGATCCGTCCATGCCAATCATCGTGGCCGCAGACGCTTCAGCTTTTGGGCTCGGTGCTGTCATCTCACACCAGTTGCCGGACGCGACAGAGAAAGCCATTATGCATGCATCGCGCACATTAACCCCAGCAGAGAGAAAATACAGCCATATAGAGAAAGAGGTTCTCGCCCTAGTCTTTGCAGTGCGTCGTTTCCACAAATTCCTTTACGGTCGGAGATTTACTCTCCTAACTGATCACAAGCCTCTTCTTGCAATATTTGGTTCGAAGTTTGGTGTTCCAGCCCACTATGCAAACCGTCTCCAGCGATGGGCCTTGATCCTTTTGGGTTATGATTTTGACGTTCAGTATCGACGCACCCAACGTTTTGGTCAGGCAGACGCATTGTCACGACTCATCAGTGAACACCCTACGACCGATGAGAATGCAGTTATTGCTTCTCTTTCGACAGAAGACCACGCGCATTACTACCTGATAACTGATGTTCGTGCTTTGCCAGTCTCAGAATCTGAGATACAAACTGTTTCCAGAAACGACTCCATCATTAGGAAAACGATGAACTACGTCACCAATGGCTGGCCATCAACTGAACTTGAGGGTGACATGAAGCAGCTTTACCACCGTCGAGACCCATAATGTGTCGTGAATGAATGCTTGATGTTTGGAGATAGAGTGGTGGTGCCAGAATCCCTACGATCGAGGATGCTGAAGCGATTCCACATTGGCCATTCAGTTATAAAGCGTATGAAATCCATCGCCAGAAGCTATGCTTATTAGCCCCTCATGGATCTAGTAAGCAAATGTGTGCAGTGTTAGCAGATAACGAAGTGTAATGCGAGAATACCGCCGCTCCAATGGCCACAGCCTGAGTATCCCTGGTCCAGGATACATGTCAACTTTGCCGGTCCAATAAACGGAACCACCTATCTAGTCGTGGTCGACGCCTTTTCAAAATGGCCGCAAATTGTACCCATCACGCCACCAACGACCAGCCAGACGCTGCAACACTTAACGGAGTTGTCCGCCTGCAACGGATTACCGGATGTAATTGTATCCGACAACGGCTCACAGTTCACTTCAACTCAGTTCCAAGAGTTTTGCAAACGCCTATCTATCAAGTATCTTCGCGCCCCTCCTTATCATCCACAATCAAACGGCAAGCAGAGAGATTTGTGGATACATTTAAGAGGGCTTTGGTCAAGTCAAAAGGGGAGGGGACGTCAGTGGAAAAACTGCAAAACTTCTTATTCGTCTACCGAACGACACCTAACGACATGCTACCTGAGCAGAAGTCCCCCGCAGAGATCCTCATGGGAAGAAGATTGAGGACCATCCATAATCTGATGCTTCCGAAAACCACACCACCGCCATCGCAAACCACGTCCCAGAAGCTACCGACGTACAAGGTTGGATGCCCAGTGTTCGCTCGGGACTACAGACCAAATCATAGTCCCTGGATTGAATCACGTGTGGTTAGAAAGGTAGGTAAAGTTATGTACGAGGTTGAGGTGGGAGCAGACAGGTGGACTAGGCACCGAAACCAACTACGTAAGTGGTCAGCTCCAGCGCGCCCATCGACTGAAGGAAAGCTACGGCTGGACATACTGTTAGATACGTTTAATCTGCCGGCAGCCCCAACACAAGAAGAAGCACAACTAGTCAATCTACGGTCCAGAAGGTGGTCACTGCGCCAACGGCGACAGACAGTCAAAATGCAAGTGGACCCCAAGAATGTCCGTTATTAAAAAGGGGAGGCGTTGGGGATGTTAAATCCCCAGAACGTACTTGGTAAATGGCCTAATTTTGTAATTTTATTTTGAAAATTTGAATTTCTTCGTTTTCGCGCCAGAAGCGCTCTTTTCACCTTCGAGTCGAGTTTCCCACTTGCAAAATATCTTAAACGCTATTAGTCCGTTGTATCTTTGAGTGTGCTATTTTGTAATGCTGCCCAAGAACAATTTATTGTTGTATATATACGTTTGATTTTTTCCCTTACGATTGCTGTGCTTCTGACTGCTACGGAATATATTTTCCCCGCTTCCGACTTACTCTAGTTAGCTGGGTCTGGGACGCGCCAGAATAGCTAGCTTATAGGTTTATGGTCACAAGTCTTTGTTCCGTTCACTAACTAGTGAATTCGAAACGCTTCAGATATAGCAATTGGCGACGGGGTTAAAAAAAAGTCAACTTGCAATTGGTCGAAAATCAGGCAATTACTTTGCGCAATCAGCATCCAGCATTGTCTTGGTGTCCTTGAATGCCATTGGTCATTAGTCATACTGTGAAAAATGACGCTCCCTTCCGATCGATTACAGTTGCTGTTTGAGCGACACTTGGAGTTCATGGTCAAATTACGCACACAGTTTCTGAATCACCAGTGTTTTGCATATGCGTTGGAAGTAGATGGATTGATCGCTGAATTGCACACAGAACTGGGAAATGATCGCAGCCTCCATGAATCCTCGACAAGCCGTAACTTAAACGAAACAGCAGTCTCTCAAGACACGCCCAGTTGTTCATTACTGTCCATTTCCGAAACATGCCCGGTAGTGAATTCAAGCCCCACTATCCCTGAAACAGCATGTCCGAACAGTGACGTTTCCAGCTCTCATGAAGACGATGCCATACTGAATGCCCATGAAATTGTCGCAGCAACCGCCCACAAAGAAACAGAGATCAAATCGAGTAGTACACCGAATGCAGTTCCACCGAGCAAAGCTCAACATTCTGCAATAGAAATTTCTGCCAAATCTAATGATCAAGATTCTCAAGCTTTTCCAGAAAATGTGTCACATGCATCAAATGATAATCTAGAACCTAGTGCATTTTTGATGAACGCTGTTTATCATAGTGATCCCAAACCTACCAGCGATATTCACAATAAGTTTGATGACTACATTTCAGCAGAACCAGATCCTGACCTCACATCAAATGTCGATTCTCACCATCTAGTCAGTCTTAGCGGGTTCCCTATTGAATGCGAGTAACATGTTATAAATAGAATCGGATTAAAAGAAACTTGGGTATATGAGGATCCAACATTATTTCGTGGGGAAGGACAGGCTCAAAAAATTTAAAATCCGGATATCAGCTCCGGATTTTTCAAAAAAAGGGGAGATGTTGTGACCTGATAACAATAGTGAATGGTAACTTTGGTACCCAATAAACAGAACATATGCTCAAAATAGTAAGGCATAACAAAATACGTCATGGATATTTTTGAGATCTTACAGATGTGGAATATAAAACTCGCATCAACTATGGAATACACCATCAAGAATTGAATTCAATTATGATTATTTCACGCAATTCAAAACTTTTGGTAGGAAATTAGAAGTTTAGTCAAAATCAAAATTGATTGATCACTGGGTGGTGATCAATGTCATGCGTGTCAAGTCCTTCTTAGTGCTGATCGAATGCTATCGATCAAGTTGCATTGTGGTCACTAGTTTAGGTGGCTCGTCAAAATAAAAATGAAATAGCATTATTACTTACATTGAGTACTAGCATCATCTACAAGAATAATTTCATGAAGCAATTGTACTGGTGTACGATCAAGAACAGAATGAACAGTACGTAGTAAAGCTGACCAGGCTTCATTATGGAATACAATAATAACACTTGTTTTGAATGGAAGCAATTTATCCAATGGTATTTGATGCCTACAACTAGAAGTATAAAAGATAAATAAATAAATGGTTTGAAAATGGAATTGTTATAGATTGATTTTCAATCAAATTACAGTATATACATCGGTTAAGAAAATATTGGAAAGAATCATTAAAAAGAAATAAAAAAAGAATGGATTATCCATCCAATGTACTAATATTATGGGACTCCTCAGCAGTGCGCATCCACGATCCCGCACTCGTGGGATTCGAACCCAGGACCTACCAGTCTCGAGCCAGAGCCCTTAACCGGCTCAGTGGTCTATCGGTTAAGGGCTCTAGCTAGAGACTGGTAGGTCCTGGGTTCTAATCTCGCGAGTGCGGGATCGTGGATGCGCACTGCTGAGGAGTCCCATAATGGGACGAAACGGCCGTCCAGTGCCTTCAGGTTTTCTATGGTGGTCTAGCTTCAATTGACTCACGCTTTCAACTATGAAAATACCAAATCTCCACAAAACCCCTTCTAATAATTACTAATATTACTCTATCACACTCTTAGCACTGTTGCCAATATTACAAAACGTTGAACTTAACAACTGGAAGTTAAGCCCACTGATCTCAGCATTTGCGGATCGGTGAATTAGTGATTAAAACACATTTACCTTTTAATGAAATAGTTACAGTTTCAGTTTAGGTAGTCAGAAGATTTCACCATTTCTGATACAAATAGCTCAAAATAGAATACTTGGTAATTGAGTTACAATTCAGTGGTTCGCTAGTGAATAAGCTCCAGAAATTCACATGGATGACTACGATTTTACATTCAATGGATATTAGACAACGGATTATTATGGAATAAGAAACATTTTTTTAACGAAAAAGAGGATTACATTCATAAATGAAATGTCAAGAACTAATGTACAGCACAAGTGTTTATTAACAGTTGTCTACGCAAGATACTTCGGATCCGTTGGCCAGACACTATCAGCAACAAGCTACTGTGGGAGGGAACAAACCAGATTCCATCCAGAGGAGGAAGAAATCAGAAAGAAGCGCTGGAAGTGGATAGGACACACATTGAGGAAATCACCCAACTGTCTCACAAGGCAAGCCCTCGCATGGAATCCTGAAGGTCAAAGGAGAAGAGGAAGACCAAAGAACATATTACGCCGAGAAATAGAGACGGACATGAGAAGAATGAACCAAAACTGGATAGAACTAGAAAGGAAGGCCCAGAACAAGGTGGGTTCGAGAAAGCTGGTCGGCGGCCTATGCTCCATTGGGAGTAACAGGCGTAAGTAAGTAAGCAAGTAATGTACAAAAGTTGGATATTTTCAGTCACGGAGGTATAAATTCTAAATCTTTCTTATTTTCTGCAATACAACAAACCAACTAAATAAATAAATATGCAAACCATTTCAAGATTTAGACTTTTAGTCAATTAAAACAGAGGACAAGACTAAATAAATTATATTTTTGTAATATCCCAATGAGTAGAAAAATTAGATTTTCTGACGTTTCGTGACTCAGTGTAAGCCCCTTCTTCAGAGAATAAATTGGAATATTACAAATATATAATTTATTTAAAACAATCTACCCAATGCTCAATTTATTCAAAATTATCAAATCAAGACTTGGTAATGATACCTACAGAGGACAAGACTGTTTTCTGACACCAGAAGTAGAATACGACATCTCTCTACATTTAGTCATAGTCGAAAAATGCATCCAATTTCCGGATTCGTTGTAGAAGCCAGATTAAACTTAACAAACAATGTTACTATCAAAAGGGGTTTTTGTGGATATTTCAGTATTTTCATAGTTGAAATCATGGGTCAATTGAAGCTAGACTATCATGGAAAACCTGGATGCACTGGACGGCCGTTTCGTCCTATTATGTTACTGTTATGTTTTTACATTTGGTTTTCTTCAAAATAAAAACAGAAATCATCATCAAGCTGATCATATTCTGAAACAGCAACAATCACCCCTCCCCTATGAAATGATACAATTGAACGAGCATAATGTATTAGATAGAAGTATGGTAAAAAGAAGAAAATATCGTAGCATAAATTGGTAAACACTACGAATATTCATTTTTTTTGTAAAGAAAAACTGGTCTTTGCCACACCTCATATACACTTACACTACTGCACAGGTTCTACTACTAATTCATGAACAACTTCAGTGTTATGCCTTAAAAGTTAGTAAACGAAAATGACATAAACAAAGCATGAATAGCTTAATGTGTCCAAGATAAGCCGAAATATGAATCAATTCTGTTTCTCGTCTACAAACCAATTTTTACTTAGAAACACTGAAACGCAATTACAGAAAGTAAAAATAAAGAAAAGGACAGAGGAAAAGTTATGCTAGAAAACAATAAAAGTTACTGTGGAGAAGATTTGTAGCTCAGGTGGGTGATTTTGATGTTGGTTTATTCTCTGAGCTGGGTGGTTTGCTCGTGGAGCTTTCATCGTCCTTCTGAACGATATCATCAGCACAAACTTCGAGGACAAGCTGTGAATCACATGTGGAGAAATTCAAACACTTCACTTCTACCCGAAGTTTGTGCTGATGATGTCGTTCAGAAGGACGATGAAAGCTCCACGACCAAACCACCCAGCTCAGAGAACAAACCAACATCAAAAGTTACTGTGTTTTACTCATTGAACTCAAGCTGAACAGAAAAGATTAGATTCGGGAGAGAAGGACATATGGGATAAACCTTCCCACATACAAGGAGTTGTTGTCCAGTGAAATGCGGTCATCAGCGACTTCAACGAATACAACAAGGATGAATTTGATGAGAAACTGCAGTCGATCGCAGAGAAGTGTTCTAAAAAGAACTTAACAATCCTGGCGAGAAAACTAAACACTAAGGTCGGAATGGACCACACCAGGTATGGAGATAACATGAGACCATATGGATTGACTGGAGAAAACGAACAAAAGTGATGAGAATGGTCAGAAGAAGCACGAAATACAATGAACAGCTTGAACGCGGTCAGACAATTTGGACTTCACAGATGACCTAACCCTTCTGTCTCATAAATAGCAACGAATGCAACTGAAGACATCCGGTGTAGCAGCCGCCTCCTCAGAAGTAAGTCGCAACGTATTCAGAGGAAAGTAATTTTTTGAAATACAACACAGAGAGCACCAACCCGATCGCATTTGATGGAGAAGCTCTGGACAAGCTGGAAACCTTTAAGCACCTGGTCAGCATCATGGACAAATAAGGAGGATCTGATGTAAATGTGAAGGCAGTTTGATAGAGAAAGGGCAGTACTACGATAACTTGAGAATACCTGGAACTCTAAGTAACTGTCACACAATAGGAAAGTCAGAATCTTCGACACTAACGTTAACACAATTCTCTTTCACAGAGCAGAAAATTCAAGAACTACTACAACCATCATCAACAATGTACGGGTGTCTACAGACATTTGTCTACGCAAAATACTCAATATCCTGATTACGTGAGTGTGATCGATCCGTGGAAGTATTGAAGTGATTCATGATGAAATTACAATGATGTGGTTCTTACACTGACAGCTCAATAAAATAATATACACGTGATCTAACAATTGACTTAGTTAATTAAAGGAAAAGAAGGTTAATGTTATTACTTTAAACAACTTCATTTGGAGCCTTTCTAGGGTTACTACTGGTTTAAGCCCAGGTGAAGGGAGAGGGTTGAGTATGAAATCAACGACCCATACCGTGAAAAAGAACTTTGATAAATAAAACGCCTACTAGAAAAGGTCATTTAGGCCACTTCTATGAAGGTTAAAGCTGGATCTCAATAACTGGACCACATATTTAAATACGGAGTATACCTCCTTTGGGTTACCAGATTCTATCACCAGTCAGAATACCAAATTAGTACAGCCGATACACGAGTAGATAAACTTGTATTTGCTAAATGAGTTTTTAACCAATAATTCCTATTTTCTTCCAGATACTGAACACAGTGAAGAAATCTATACAATAGTAAATATTTTGTTTCTTTTTTCAAACTTTACTAATGTGAACCGGTTCGTGCCGAAAAGTGAATGTCCAGCGCTTTAACCGGGTTGATGGACACGGAAAGTTCACCTAGGGGAGTTGGAAAACCCTGATTCCAAACCAATAGTGCACATGGGCTCCAGTATTCTGAAGGAACAAATGGCGTATGAATCAATCGTTGGCCACCAGGTATCATGAGACTGCATCTCCTCACAATGCTCCACTGTCTTGTGGATTAGACCTTTAGGTCGAACGCTCCGGGTGTGGCCCCCTAAGAAAACCACCTGCTTCAATTTGGGCATCTGGGCAGTATCACAGCTCTCACACAAATCAAATGAGATTTGTGGGGCGCATATGTATCTGGTACCCGTTTGTACCAATATTTATGTGTTTAAATAAATAAATAAAAATACACATATTTCACAAGAAAAGTGGTACATCAACTTGTATTTAGCAAATGAGAAGAGTTTTAAGAGGTATTTAGAACACTTTGACGAATGAAGAGCTACCTTTAATATCGTTTTGCATTATCTCAATTCAATATAATAATCATTAAATTGCACCCTTTAGTGTAGAAATGCTAAGTGGTCACTCAGTATTGCAACGATTTTGGTTAATACTAAGATTAACCTGAAAATTATTATTTGGCAATATTATCCAAAGAATAAATGGTGTGTGAAAATCAGGAATTTATCGATACACAAGCAATGAAAGTGAATGCTATCTCCATCAATGAGAACTATCATATGATACCATTAAAAATAGTCAAGCCTATCCCGGAGCAGATAAACAAAGACACCACATCCTTATTGTGAAGAACGTAGACAGATTGGAAGAGTCAACCAGTTCATTTTGATTAAATTGGATCTTGACAATAGTTTATATAAACTTAATCAAAGAGGGGAATTGGGAGGATAGAACCTTAGCTGTTACATACTTATATCAATATCAACTCAGAGAGATAACTGTTCATTCTCTCAGGCCCCCAAATGCCCTGGTAGGGCCGAGAGTGGGGAGAGTCCGCTCTCCCTCTCCAAATGGTCTCATATGGCCAGCGAATATATAGCCTCTGTCAGGGAAGTCCCACTCACTGCCTTCTCTCAGCGGGAGTGTTGTTTACGAAATTGAGAGGACGAAGTGCGAATGTCCGGTGCTTTAACCGGGTTGGTGGAAACAGAAAGTTCACCTAGGGGAATTGGAAAACCCTCATTGCAAACCAATGGTGCACATGGGCTCCAGTATCCTGAGGGAACAAATGGCGTACGAATTAATCATTGATCACCGGCTACCATGGGACTGCATCTCCTCACGATGCTCCACTGCCTTGTGGACTAGACCCTCAGGTCAAAGGCTCCGGGTGTGGCCCCCTAAGAAAACCACCTGCTTCAGTCTGGGCACCTGGGCAGTATCACAGCCCTCACACAAATCGAATGAGATTTGTGAGGCGCATATGTATCTGGTGCTTCCTTGTACCAATATTTATGTGTTTAGATAAAAATAAAAATCATTCTCTCAGCAGTGGTATGATTTAGCTGACAATATAACCTGAACATAAGAAAAAGAAACCAGTTCCTGTTGAATTATAGTTCGGGTAGTTTATTATATTAGGTAAACTAGGCTCTCTGTATGAATATCATGTCGTTTTCATAAAAAACCTATTTAACACCCCCTAAACAACTTAGGAACCTACAAAACTCTTCTTCATGATTGAAAGCGTGAGCCAATTGAAACTAGACCACCAGGGAAAACCTGGAAGCACTGGATGGCCTTTCCATCCCATTATGGGACTCCTCTTATATCTTATAGACGTTTAGATAACAGCGACTCATCGGTTAAAGTAATCGACTTCAAACAACTAAGTCACAGGTTTGAATTCTGCTCCACCACCTTTCATAGGTTTGGACAACTGAGTAGTACTATTAGTCTTCACACTAGAGCGTAGCTGAAAGCGAATTACACAAAATTAGACCTGATAAATAAGTTCAAAAAACTTTTTCGATGGAATTTCTCTAGCTCAGAGAAAGAAACTCCACCGAAATCATCCACTTGAGCTACAAATGTCCATCATCTCAGTCTATAAAACATTTACAACTTAAAGGAAAATAGATAGACACAGATGCACTGGTCATTAATAAAAGCTACACGTCAAAACCATGAAACGAAGGGCTAAAACATTAAATTTACTGATCAGAGTACATAATAATAATAATAGTAATAATAATAATAGTAATAATAATATTCGTAATAGTAATAATAGTAATGATAATAATAGTAATAATAATAATAGTAATAATGATAATAGTAATAATAATAATAATAGTAATAATGATAATAGTAATAATAATGATAGTAATAATAATAATAGTTAGATGCCTCGCCTTGTTATGTCTTTAACTTCGCTACATTTTATTCTTATGCTTACGAAAATGTTTCTCTTTGTTGTTGTTTTATTGTCATAAAATGTATATCTACATAAAATCCCTGGTTATTATTCCTGGATCAAATGTTTTTCATTTTAACTTTCGGGAAAATTACAAAAATTTTCACTTTGCTATCCTGACGTAGTGGCCGGGATCGTCTATTGTGATGAATCAACAGAACTATACTGGCTGGAACAATCGTTCCTCAAGGTCCTACCATGCCAGACAGGTAGGTCGGTTGAAGAGCGGTAAGACTAAAAGCAGCAAACTGAAGGTTCGATGGCGAAGTCGTACTGCCGACTGTACACAAGCGTAACGGTAGTAAAATGTTTCCTTCATACAATTAGCATAACAGCGATGCTGTCTTCCCTTAGAAAGAGTCGACCCTAAAAATGCACACCTTGCTTCATCACACAGATTTCCGTCTCCGGTGGTACGGTCCCAACAAGAGCAGAGCTAAAACGAAAATTACTCACAAAAAAGTCGTGTGCGACCGACTTTCACTTCGCTTACGTTGACGATGAATTGGTTTTCTACTTTCCGACTACTTGTTGAAAATTATTTATTCAATTTTATGATTAAAACTTATGATCTGCTTTACAGTGAGGGGAATCTTCATTGAAAATATAAGTATCAGAAGGGGTTTTTGTTCAGATTTCAGTATTTTCATTGTTGAAAGCATGAGTCAATTAAATCTAGACCACCGAAGAAAACCTGGAAACACTGGACGGCGCGAGACTGGTAGGTCCTGGGTTCGAATCTCGCGAGGCGAGGTCCTAGATGCGCACTGCTGAGGAGTTCCACAATAAGACGAAACGGCCGTCCAGTGCTTCCAGGTTTTCCTTGGTGGTTTAGTTTCAATTGACTCATGCTTTCAACAATGAAAATATAAGTGTTATAACTTAAAGGATATTTTTAAAAGAAATAAGAATTTATCCAGTTGCAACATACTGTTTTAATTTGTAGTTGCATAAAAGCAATAGAATGTGTGAACTCTTTATACAGTAATTTAGGAGAGTTCTATTTTACCGTCACAGAGCTGAAATTAAAACAAATGGTTGTTTTTAATGATCGAATCAGACAAATCTTTTGACTCACATTGACAATACATGAGATAATTTGGAAAAGAACATCCGTAGTTGAACTTCTATTGTAAACAAAAACCATTACTTATTCACAGACCAGTCGTTTTGGTCTATGTTCATCATTACATCTTCACTAATTTTTCTAACGGTCCTAGAAGAATCCTGTGTATTTCAGTGCTTAACACCGAAAAGATAAAACGTAGGTAAGTTACCACGTCTTAATCATTAGTAATCACATATTACTAACTGGTTGTGAAACAGCTGGAACCATTAGAGTTAAATATTGCTCTGTCCAAAAACTAATCAGAAAGACTTATCACTCTAAGGAAAATTATGCTTAGAGTGCAACGCGAATACCTACCATAGAGTGGCTTAACTACAGTTACAGAAAGTAACACTCAGACTCTCCTAATATATCAGTGGTCTTGAGTGCTGTTAGAGGTATGAGGGCAGTTATCACTTCCCGGTTGCCCACACCGTGGAAGGGTTCTTCTAGAGGTAAATGAAAAAGAAATTGGGTTAGAATTGGTCTTAATGACCTGAGAGTGTAACCGCAGTACCCAAGGGACAACTGCTTGAGGTCGGTCACTCACGACCTTTTTGTGGGTAATTTTTGTGTTAGCTCCGTTCTTCAAAGGACCTTACCGCCGGAGACGGATATCCGTGGGATAAGGCGAGGTGTGCATTTCTAGGGTCGACCTTTTCTAACCCCACCCCTCCTTGTGGGAAGGCAGCATCTCTGTCATGCTGGTTGTCTGAAGGAAACACCTTACTGCTATCACACCTCTGTACAGTCAGCAGTACGACTTCGCCTTCGGACCTTGGGATTGCTGCTTTTAGTCTTACCGCTCTTCAGCCGATCTACCTGTCAGGCATGGTAGGACCTTGAAGAACGATTTTCCCAGCCAGCATAGCTCGATTGGTTCATCACGATAGGCAAGCCCGACCACTACGTCAAGGTAGCAGCAACGGTCGGGATCCTAATATATACGGAAACTAAATTTCGAGCTTTATATATATATATATATATATATATACATATATATAATAGACGCATACGCATAAATACGTATCAAACATTACCTGGGATGACGAAAATCGTCTAAATTACGACGTGTACCAATCAAATTGCTAACAACAAGATTGAATTCATTCAGATGAAATGTGAGCTTAGATTCAGCTTTTAGAAACTCAGACAAGACGACTGGACGACCCATATCACCAAATTTTTCCGATTGATCATGTAGGCCAAATTTACCGCTACTATCCGCTATTCCTGAATTACCTAGATGGCCAGATATATTGACAACTAAGAATTAAAAAAAACACGAAATGTACAAGAACCCCAATGTTGTAAATTGAAAACTTCCTGAAAATTTAGAGATAGATAACTAGTAAAAACACCGCCACATTGATTTTTTATTGTGTAACTATATAATTAAATATAACTAGTTCGATATGAATAATTTACCATAAACTGTGACTTTATTTTAGTGGAATGTCGAGTAATTGGTTATAACTATTTTTCATCAACTATGTTAGGGATATAAAGTCGTTACTCATTATCACGAAGTATGATAATGATTGGAGGAATTTGCTAACGGATTAGTCTAGAAAATTACCAACTGTCGGGTTAAAACGTTCTAGGTGTAATCCCCAGGTAATGATAGAAATAAGTAGTCTAGGTATTGAGAAAACGGTTAAAAGCCTATCATAATAGTATATATCCACTTGCTATTTGTCTTTTCTCAAATTTTGAACGTCTTTTAACTTCATTACTAGTTTTATCTCACATGTCCTCTTATTTATCTTATCATTTCTATGTCTTTTATTCTCCTCTACTGTTTATATGTATCGGATAGATCCTATAAACCTTTTTTAACATATTGAAAATGATCCAACTAATAATTTGATTAGAGAAATACTAACCAACAAAAAAGGCAACATACTAGATCACAGGAAACAACATTAAAATCATATCGTGTTATTTAGAAAAACGATGAAGCTCTATAAATAAATTATCCAATTTCTGGAAAACATAACCACTGAAGTACTCATTTGATGCTTATTATCTTTCCTCTCAAAATGCATGTGTGCTGATAGAACCATCACAATTCCCTTCGGACATGGTATCGCATGTTCCTGCAGATTGTATCCAGAAGACAAAAGCCATTACTAGTGGTGGTGTTATACATACCTCCAGATATCACACGACAAACCATGTTTGCAGATCTAGACTACCGTGTTGAGGTCCTCGTGATTATCAAGACCGACAGTTAGAGATATTTGACGATACAACTCAGAATTAATAGAGATGGTTTAGAAGCATCCACTATTTGTCCTTCTTAGACTTGTGGCTTTAGAATTATGTTGTATATTTTGTTTCTCGATTCATTTCCTGTTTTCAAATAATATTTTTTACTATCACTGATACTACCAATTCTATTATTTGCTATTTGTTTTGATAATTGCACCTCGTTGTGCTAATGTGATGTAGCAATTTAGGTTGATGCATATTTATGTTATGTTGAATATGACCGACCGACTGATACAATACATAAAACAACTTAGTGACAAAATAAGTTCAAAGTCATTATGTAATTTAGTGTGACCGATAATGTTGATAGCCTTTATTGACTTGGAAGTGATTAGTCACAGGAACAGGTGCTTGAAATTGATTTTTAAATGGATAACTGGTCTTGTAAAACTGACTACATACTTTTAAGATCTTACTGTAAGGAAAATTCGTTAAGGTGGTATTCTGTCTTGAAGACTATCTCATCAAAATTTAGTCAATGTGAATATAATATCTGCTTTTGTACAACACGTAAAAAACAAAACAAAATATGAATCACAGGGAGCTCTACTGCACAAATAAAAAACAGCATTATTGTTGATTAACTCCGCCTGTAGCTCTTCTAGAGTTACTGCCGGTCCCAAGCCCGGGTAAAGGAGGAGGGTTGGGCATGGGGTTAGCGACCCCATCCCGTAGAAAAGCTAACTCGCTAAAAAAACGCTAACCAGAAAAAATAATTCAAACCATTTAAACTCTGCCCTGGGAGTTGAAGGAATAATTATGACGTCTCATGATGAAAGCCGAAATTCTTCGGAAGTCACGAGACCGATGCACCTTCTAACAACCAGAGCAACACTCTTTATAGGTACATGGAACGTCCGGACGATGTGGGAGACAGGAAAGACCAGCCAAATAGCAATGGAAATGAGGAGATACAACTTGGCAGTACTCGGAATCAGCGAAACCCATTGGACACAAACTGGACAACAAAGGCTAGGTACAGAAGAGATGCTGCTGTACTCCGGTCACGAAGGGGAAAATGCTTCACACACTCAGGGAGTTGCTCTAATACTGTCCAAAGAAGCACGAAATGCACTTGTGGGATGGGAATCTCATGGACCCAGGATAATCAAAGCATCATTCAGAACAAAGAAGCCAGGGATCAAAATGAACATTATCCAATGTTATGCACCCACTAATGATAGCAACGACGATGATAAAGATCAGTTCTATGAAAGGCTGCAATCAATTATAGAGAAGTGCTCACGAAAGGACCTCACAATCCTGATGGGAGATCTAAATGCTAAAGTTGGGTGGACAACACAGGATATGAAACTGTAATTGGACGACATGGATTAGGAGAGAGAAATGAAAATGGGGAGGGACTTGCAAATCCATGCGCATTCAACAAATTGGTTATAGGCGGCACAATATTCCCACACAAGCGCATACACAAAGCTACATGGATCTCACCGGACCACACCACAGAGAACCAGATTGATCACATCTGTATCAACAAAAAATTCCGAAGATCAATGGAAGATGTGAGAGCACGGAGAGGAGCTGACATAGCTTCAGATCACCACCTGGTTGTGGCCAAGATGAGACTGAAGCTAAAGAAACACTGGACAACTGGACAAACAGCACTACAAAGGTTTAATACAGCCTTCCTTCGAGATACTGACAAGCTCCATGAATTCAAGATAACTCTCAACAACAGGTTCCAAGCTCTACAGGATCTACTGAAAGAACAAGAAACTACGTTGGAGGACAACTGGAAAGGGATAAAAGAAGCACTAACTTCAACGTGTCAGCAGGTTCTTGGTCCTAAGAAGCATCATCACAAGGAATGGATCTCTATGGGAACCCTGGACAAAATTCAAAAAAGGAAGAACAAGAAACTAGCAATTAACAACAGCCGAACACGAGCAGAGAAAGTCAAAGCACAAGCAGACTACGCAGAAGCAAACAGAGAAGTGAAGAAAAGCATTAAAGCCGACAAGCAGAAATATATGGGAGAACTAGCAACGGCGGCGGAAAAAGCTGCAAGAGAAGGGAATATGAAACAAGTATATGACACAACGAAGAAATTGGCAGGGAGATATAGCAAACCAGAGAGACCAGTCAAAGACAAAGAAGGAAAGACAATCACTGAGATTCAAGAACAGAGGAAAAGATGGGCAGAATACTTCGAGGAACTGCTGAATAGACCAGCCCCATTGAATCCACCGAACATCGAAGCAGCCCACACTGACCTTCCAATAGATATCACTCCACCAACGATCGAAGAAGTCAAGATGGCCATCAGACAAATCAAAAGTGGGAAGGCTGCAGGACCTGACAATATACCAGCAGAAGCACTGAAGTCAGACATTGAAATAACTGCAAATATGCTTCACCTTCTATTCAAGAAGATTTGGGAAGAGGAACAAGTGCCAACGGACTGGAAAGAAGGATATCTCATCAAGATACCAAAGAAAGGAGATCTGAGCAAATATGAAAACTACAGAGGTATCAGTTTGTTATCAGTACCAGGAAAAGTTTTCAACAGAGTGCTGCTGAATCGGATGAAAGACGCAGTAGACGCTGAACTTAGGGATCATCAGGCTGGATTCCGTAAGGATCGGTCGTGCACAGACCAGATTGCGACACTACGGATCATTGTTGAACAATCAGCTGAGTGGAACTCATCACTATACGTCAACTTTATTGACTATGAGAAGGCGTTTGACAGCGTGGACAGGAGAACATTATGGAAATTTCTTCGACACTATGTAGTGAGTTCCTGAAAAGATTGTCAACATTATCCAAAACTCATACGATGGCCTACAGTGCAAAGTGGTGCATGGAGGACCGCTGACAGATGCATTTCCAGTAAGGACTGGAGTCAGACAAGGCTGTCTACTCTCCCCATTCCTCTTCCTTCTAGTGATTGACTGGATTATGAAGAATTCGACATCTGAAGGGAAATACGGAATACAATGGACTTCTCAGAATCAATTAGATGATTTGGACTTCGCAGATGACCTAGCCCTCCTCTCTCATACACACGAACAAATGCAGATGAAAACAGCAAATGTAGCAGCAGCCTCCGCATCGATAGGCCTCCACATTCACAAAGGAAAAAGCAAGATTCTCAAATGCAACACGGAGAACACCAACCCAATCACACTTGATGGCGAAACTCTGGAAGAGGTGGAAACATTCAAGTACCTGGGGAGCATCGTTGATAAACAAGGGGGATCGGATGCAGATGTAAAGGCGAGGATTGGCAAAGCAAGGGCAGCATTTCTACAATTGAAGAACATATGGAACTCAAAACAACTCTCAACCAATTTCAAGGTCAGAATCTTTAATACGAACGTCAAGACAGTCCTACTGTATGGAGCTGAAACGTGGAGAACTACTACGACCATCATCAGGAAGGTACAAGTATTTATAAACAATTGTCTACGCAAAATACTCAACATCCACTGGCCGGATACCATCAGCAACAGCGTTTTATGGGAGAGGACAAATCAGCTTCCAGCTGAAGAGGAAATTAGGAAAAGACGTTGGAAGTGGATCGGACATACATTGAGGAAATCACCAATGTGCATCACGACTCAATCCCTAACTTGGAATGGTGAAGGGAAGAGGAAAAGGGGAAGGCCAAAGAACACACTACGCCGGGAAATAGAAGCCGATATGAAAAGGATGAATAGCAACTGGAAAGAACTGGAAAGGAAGGCTCAGGACAGAGTTGGATGGAGAATGCTGGTGAGCGGCCTATGCTCCTCCACAAGGGGTAACAGGCGTAAGTAAGTAAGTAAGTAATTATTGTTGATTGAATACAAGTACTTGGTAATAGTGACCAAGAAGTGTTGTTTTTCACTTCCCAGATTTGTTATCAACAATGGCGTCCAATTCAGACAAAGTACCTAAAAAGTAGATATTCAAGTGATCGTACGTGTAGTGCACTGAATAAATGTTTAATCATGTAGAAAACCCAGTAGATACCATATTGTGGGAATTCAAAGAAATATACATATAAGTGATACAAACATCAGTGGATTAAAGAAACCATCTAACATAGTTCATCAACGAAGCTGAAACCTCCTTTAAAGATAAATAATAGTACAGGAGCTACTAAAATCACTGTATGCTGACGAAGTTTGCTTTAAATGCTAACAAATCAGAAATATCTGCATCTTAACCTTACAAAGTTTAGAAGGGAGCATGATACAAGACTATTTAGTTGTTCCCTAGTGCCTACAACGCCTCTTTTCACACAAGATGAGAGTTAAAACAGTGTGGTACTTATATACAGACTATGTGGACATAGTCACACACCATTATTGATAGAAAACAAATTCAAAAAAGCGAAGAATTCAAAGACTTTTCTAGCTAGATATATATACAAGAGAAAACATTTCCCCTGATAAGCGTGATGATCATTAAAAACCCAGTCTATGAACTCCTTAATAATCTTGACATAAAATTACCGTGGTCAAACTAAGTACATTTTAGGTTACTGAAGAAACTCTAATTTGTCGTGACCTTACGGTCTGAATTGCTGTGAAATGTTCTGGATTAATGAACTTGAATTTCACATTACAAAATACTTCTAAACAATTAATAAGCAGATGGTTCTTGAACTACTGTGTTTTGTCAAAATTACTGCTATTAAAAAGGTAATATTAGATCGATCAATCAGTCAGTCAGTTACAACGTAGGACCAGGCACATAAATGAGACGGTTCAAGTTGCCGAACTGTTGTGTTCGTATGAACTAATGATTCCTTTGTGCTTGACGACTGCCTGGTCTCGAATTCCAAATACAATACGTTCGTTTGTGTTCATCGAATACTTCTTGGTTAAATTACGTTATTTCTGGAATTCCTAGTTTGTATAATAATTCAAATACTTTAAACTACTACACATACTTCATTAGCGCAACAAAATGAACATCAAATTCATAAAGTAGTTACATCAATAGTAGCAATATATAAAAGAAGGATTGTGTACCGGAATATACAGGAAGAAAGAATTATTTCGTAGAAAGAAAGGTATAAAGCAAGTTTTATCTCACGGTTTAAGGGAAGGCGAAGAGTGCATACTCCTGAACCATTGTGATCGATTCTGAGCCATGTCACAGAGTCTCCAACCATTGATTACGATAACCACTACTACTTATCCGGTGATCCCAGCAGATGCGGGCATTATTTCTAAGACATCTGTGATCAAATACCAGTAATTTGCGAGTATTTTCTACCCTTAATGGCCATGTTTCGCAGCCGAAAGGTAGAATAGAACGATGCATTTCAACAGTTAAGATGATCTGTCTTACACTCCCCTGGTGACTTCAATATCCATATTTATAAGTATAGCATCTAATTCCGTGAGTTTTACTATGTTTCTGTCCTTAGTTCTTGGGTACTACCCGAGCTTTACTTATTTTCCCACTTAAATTCATTTCGGTGGTGGTTGTTACATAACTCGTTTCCTTGCGTTGTAGAGAGCCGATTTTTGATATGAAGCGTTGCAATAAAAATATTTTGACTACGAAAAGTAGTAATTTGAATCTTAGGTGAACGAAGAATATTTTTACCTATAGGTCAAATGAATGCACCGGCGCTCTTTCAAACTTTATTTGACTCAAAAAGTGAGTAAACTTCTCCCTGGAGTCTATTCGGGCCTTAAGTGGTACTTGGAGTAACACGCCCCCAAACTTATGCTGAGAACGGCATAAAATAGTTGAAGACTAGTATATCGTACAACATTATTTGTTCGTCTAAGTAAAATTGTATTTTACTGAAGGTAAACTTAATTACAACGGAAAAGAATCGATCTGTTACTATTTCTCAGGAATAAATGAGTTAATTGTCCCAAAAACCTGTTTTTAAAGTGAACTTTCAAGTTCATGTGCTTACAAGCACATTATACTCAGGATCTAATGTACATGTAAATGGATATCCAACTACCGTTGAGGCTCCATCCGTCGACTCCTTCAGAAGAAAGTTGGATCAGCTGAGAGACCATCATTGCCAGGACTAACACAGGCCACCAAGCCTCCTGTCCTTTCCAAACTGAAACTGAAACTGAAACTAGAATAATAAGAATGGGATAGATGGCCTAGACTAACCATCAATTTCAGCTGAAGTGGATAGTTGAATAATTGACCAGAAATTGTTGAAACTATGTGCCCTTGTAGAGAATTGCAGTAATACACGTTTATACCTAGACTTTTCGATAAAAAATTTCAGAATTACAAAGAAAAACCCGTTAGATGGTCAGTCCCGTTAACCCAATTTCTATGCGCAAAAGCAACCCTCAAGGCCGTTTTCCATCAACATGAGATTAACTGGAAAACCATGGAAACACTTGTACACTTTGTCTTCACTATATTCGAACCAATAAATATCAAGAAAAATTCAAAGTACTGTAGTATTTAGTTAGTAGGAATAATTTCTTCATTATGCAAATTTAGGATACTATTCAAATATGACGACTACAAACATTATTTGAAGGTACTTGAAAAAAGTTACACAAAAATAGTATAATGAATATAGTGGAATTGTGAGGAAAGCCTGTAAGGTATAAATAACACTACATGCAACTTACCATCTATGGTTGAGGTGTAGAAAAATATGAGTTGAAATACCAGTAAGAGAAGGATAACGAGGATAAATAGTTTGATGGTAAAGGACTTCATTGGGAAAGCTAAATCCTTTACCATCTCCTAGTAGTCACACACTTTGAACAGGGCGACCATTCGACCCTGACCAACAAATTGTATGTGAAGGTTTAAAACAAATCAAGGTTTCTCTGTTTATCGGCTTACTTAATTAAGCCTGCCATTATTCATGGTCTGTAGGAAGCTGACCAAAGGTCTCCACTATGGTTACCGCCATGTAATATTCGTTCTTCTGATGTTTTACTCACCTTTCCGACACCGTGTGTTCAGTCTTCCGTCTTCAGTAATAAGGATAGTAGGTTGATGAACCTGTGTTAATCCTGACAGATTTCCTTCCAGTGAAGGTCCAGCTTCTTTTTGAAAATGTTCACTGATGGTGCTGATACTACTTGTTCTGGTAAAGCGTTCCAGTCATTGACCACTCGATGAGAAAAACGGGACCCCACCTTTAGTTTATTAGATCGCGGTTTCAGAACCTTCATGCTATGACCCCGGAGATTATTAGTGCTGGAGGGAGCAAAAAGATAAGACATATTAACACCCAGATCATAATTAAAGATACGAAATGCCAGTATATGGTCACCTCGCGTCCTACGATAAGATAAGGGGAAAAGATTTAGACGTTTTAAACGCTCATCGTAAAGGAGTTTGGAAAGACCCTCTACTAATTTTGTCCCTACACGCTGGACACGCTCAAGCGATTTAGTATCCTTTATCAGACAAGGGCTAGCTGCTTGGATACAGTATTCTAAGTGTGGCCTTACATATGTGGGATATAAAATTCGAAACATATCCTCGTCAAAGCATTTAAATGCTCTGCGAAGCGACCATAGCGCGCGATAGCCTTTGGAAGCGACCGCATTGCAGTGCGTAGTAGTTTTTAAGTCGTGACTTATAATTACTCCTAAGTCTTTATGCGCATGAACGCGTGGCAGAGATGTACCATTAATGGTATAATGGTAACTAACATCGTGCCCGATGTGCATGAACACGCTCTTCCTGGAATTGACTTCCAGGCCCTAATCATGAGCCCACCTAACTAATTCGTCTAAATCAGCTTGCAGATAACAACGATCAGTCTCATTTCTTATTGTTCTCCAGATTTTAACATCATCCGCAAACAATAACGTCGACGACTTAAGTAATAAAGGTAGTCCATTAATATACAGAAGGAAAAGTAAAGGGCCTAAGATGGTGCCTTGGGGTACACCACTTTTGACCGGTTTCCATTCGGATAGAGTTCCATTGACCCTCACTCTCTGTCTGCGGTCACATAAGAAGCTCCCTATCCATTCCTGTATAGCACCTGTTATTCCAACGCTCGAGAGCTTTTGCATAAGACCTAAGTATGAAACCTTATCAAACGCTTTGCTAAAATCTATGAATATCACGTCGACAGACTGGCCGTTGTCTAGGGCAGCTGTCCAATCCTCTCTCGCAATGAGTAAGTTAGTCAAGCATGAATGCTTGTTACGAAACCCATGTTGCCCGTGAGTTAAGAGATTGTACGAATCTATGTGACTCAGTAGCTTAGCCCGAATTATTTTTTCAAGTAAATTAACTACTATACTGGTCAGGCTAACAGGCCGGTAGTTAGATACGATCTGTCTCTGACCATCCTTAAATATAGGACTAACTATGGCGTCTTTCCAGTCTCTAGGTAGTTGAGCCTGTGAAAGGTACATGTTGAAGAGCATCGTGAGCGGTTTTGAGATAATTTCCGCAAGCGACGACAGCAAACGTGGATGTAACCCATCGGGGCCCGGTATCTTACAAGGTTTTAGGTTAGTTATCAAAGGAAGAACAATATCCTCTGTCACGTGCAAAGGTCCTATGGCTGGTATCTCATTGTCAACGGGACAAGTAGTTGTAACACTACACGTAGAGTAGACTTCACTGAAATAGTTAGTAAATAACTCCGCTCTCGCTAGGTCAGATTCAGCCAATAAAGCTGAATTTTCGCCTAACAGTAATGAGGGGATACCATCACTACGTTTCGTCCGCCTTTTAACATACGAAAACAGTCGCTTCGGACAGGTACGGCTGTCGTATGCCAACTGTCGTTCGTAAGCCGTACGGGATTTAGCTATGGTCTTTTTACATATATTCCGGATTTTTTTATATTCGCACTTAAATGATGCATGACTTGTTGACAAGAATAAGTCCCAGAAGTGTTTCCTACGCTTCAACAGCTTCCGGGTTTCCTTATTAATCCATGGAGGGCAATATGATAGCTCACGTGCTGACCATGGGATAAACGGTTGAGTTACGGATTCGAATGTAGAAATGAACCTATTCCATGCATCATCAATCGATCCATCAGCATCGACCGACCAGTCAATTGAGATAGCATAGTCCCTGATTGCCGGAATATTAGCTCTCCAGATATTAGGACGGGGTGGAGCAGATGCAAATTCTATACCATGTATCCGGAACTTAAAGGAAAGTACGACATGGTCACTATTCACCAGTGGGGGAAGGTGTTGAATGTCGACGATATCTTCACAGTGGTGTGTGAGGACAAGATCTATCAATGACGGATTATGTTCCAAGTCTATATGCGTCGGCTTGACGATACATTGTACAAGTGCACATTGAATAATTGATGACAGAAGGACGCTATCGAAACCCCCACCTGGAGCTGTGAGCTCTATCCAGTTTATATGGGGTGCATTGAAGTCTCCAACGATGAGACAACATTCTACTTTACTCCAAGAACAGACGTGTCTTAGGATAAAGTCGTCAGCGAGACAACACGGACTACGATATATTCCTCCTATCGTCACTAACCCGTTTCTAGACCTAATTGTACAACATACTACCTCACACGTACCACTTACATGCGCCTCCGATATGATCGAGTTTATGTGGAAGTGGTCCCTAACATGTAATATTATGCCTCCTCCCTTGCGACTTCTAACTCTATCACTTCTGATACAAATGTAGCCTGAAATGACTGGAGAACAGTCTATATCTACAGTGAGCCAAGTTTCGGTGATAACAATTATATCCGGATTTAAGTCGTCTGCCATCAAACTTAGTTCAGACATCTTATTCCGAATACTACGGGCATTCGTATAACACACATTTAGAGTGTTTTTGGAGACATGCGTTCTACCCACACAGGTCTCGGAATCATTGGCTTCCAAGACCTGACTACCCGAAAACCCTTAATCGTAAGGTTCGCTTCACCGTTTAGCCTTCGAGTTTTTAACTCTGTTAGGGCATTCTTCCACTTGATCCGATCCTCAAGTGGCCAGTCAGGTCGAATACGAATGTTTGAGTCACGAGTTTTGCGTGAGTTATTTAGTAATACGTCCCTTTCCTCAAAATTACCGAGTACTAATTTAAGGATCCTTCTCTGTTGGGTTTCGCCTCCAACATACTTAATAAGTCTGATGACTTTCGAGATATGTACCCCTGGGACCTCCTCTGGCAATATATTTCTGATGAGAGATCCCACTAACTGCAGGTCGTGGGCATGTCTCTTAGCGGGATCGGTGTCTTTCGATTCTGCCAAGTTCCAGATGATTACACTAGGCACCTGTTTAACTTCCTTAAAAGTCGTGTTCACGACCTTTGACCGTGATGTCAGATCCTGCCGGTTAGCTACCGGCTTCTTACTGTTAGCTTTCTTTATAACAGTGTCATGTGGGTCGAGCGAGTTACTCCCAACAACATTTGGTGAAGTTAGACTATTTCCATCCACAACAGTATTAAATATTAAATTCATTGCTCTATCTCTTTCCAATTTCCATTAGAAAAGTCCAAATTAAATCTTAATTTGTGACACATTGTTATGAGATTCAAAAGGCGTCACCCGCCCACATTCAGAGTCTTACTCTTACTCTTTCTTGAAGTTCTTGACCTGGAAAATAAGAAATGTAAACCATCGGATGCTCACTTAAGATTAAGTGTCCATTCCAATGCTCAAAAGTTTCATGTCCGATCCTCGGTAGGGTAGTAGATTTGCTCTGCTGAATCCTGCATTAAGACAGTACAGCTACTCAGTCGCATCTCGCTTTTAATAGTTGTTTAGACTATAAAAACACATATATGTCTACTTAAGTGGATTGGTGGAGATGCTGAATACTTTGAAGAGAAATTGTTTTTATCACGGACTGAAATTCACCAAAAAGTATTGAATACCAGAAAACGATGAATAACAATCTAATACTGGTTCAGAAATTCTAACTAGTGTAAACTAACTGTCTCCCACAATATTAAATTCAATATCAACAGTTTTCTATAACTGATTGATCAATGATTAGTGACCGATGTCATAGTTGCCCAATCCTTTAGTGCTGATTGGACTCTGTTGAAGAGATTGTAATGAAGCTACTATTCTAAGTGATCCGAATTATTATGCACTGTGTTGAGAATTTCAGTGTTTGAAACTCAGAGGCAGCCCGAATGGCTAGGTGTTAACGTCTTAGACTGTGAAGCTGGTTAATACACTCTAGAATACATAGGAGGTACAAAGTTTCTTACGGTTGAAGTAGCTGTCTGATGATAAGTGCTCACCAGTAGGAAACCTAGTTACACGGCTTTCAACCAAATAACATTCGTAGACTTCGTGTTCCATACTGTATCACTACTCTTTATCAAATGTTATGTGGGTTTCGAAAAAGAGTTGATCAGTGTGATCTGTGGCCCCCAAATGCCATGGTGCGGCCGAGAGTGGGGAGAGTCAGATCTCTCTCTCGAAGTGCTCTCACATGGCCTGGTGTATACAACCACTACCAGGAAAGTCCTGCTCACTGCGGCTCCTTTTTTAGGCTGGAAGCTTATCGTGCTTCAGTCACGAAATCTCATCAAACGAGTTTAGTTTCGCAATTAATTCACAGACCTTAGAGGGTTAGTTCACATCAAAAATAGCTAGAGAGATCACAGGTGAGTACAAGTCACATGGAACATAAATGCTGAGAATTTGTTGAGCATTATCATCATTCTCCTGATAGATCTGTGAAAAAATTTTCTGTAACCCTGAAAAAATGGAAGTCCTGAAATAAATAAACAAACAAAATGTTGAGTGAAGTAAA